TAAGAACTTGCCACAATTTGTTGTGGCAAGTTCTTAAAGAGATGGGAATACCAGACCATCTTATTTGTCTCTTGAGAAACCTATATGCGGGTCAAGAAGCAACAGTGAGAACTGGACATGGAACCAATGATTGGTTCAAAATTGAGAAAGGAGTTCGGCAAGGCTGTATACTGTCACCCTGCCTATTTAACTTATATACAGAGCACATCGTGAGAAAGGCAGGGCTAGATGAATCACCAGTTGGAATTAAGATTGCCGGGAGAAATATCAACAACCTCAGATATGCAGATGATACCACTCTCATGGCTGAAAGTGAAGAGGAACTAAAGAGGCTCTTGATGTGGGTGAAGGAGGAGAGTGCAAAAGTTGGCTTGAAACTCAACATTAAGAAAACTAAGATTATGGCGTCCGGTCCTCTCACTTCCTGGCAAATAGATGGGGAAGAAATGGAGGTAGTGACAGATTGTATTTTCCTGGGCTCTAAGATCACCGCAGATGGGGACTGCAGCCAAGAAATTAAAAGACGCTTGTTCCTGGGGAGGAAAGCTATGGCAAATCTAGACAGCATACTAAAAAGCAGAGACATCACCCTGCCAACAAAAGTGCGTATAGTCAAGGCTATGGTTTTCCCAGTTGCAATATATGGCTGTGAAAGCTGGACCATAAGGAAGGCTGAGCACTGAAGGATTGAGGCCTTTGAATTGTGGTGCTGGAGGAGACTCCTGCGAGTCCCTTGGACTGCAAGGTGATCAAACCGGTCAGTGCTAGAGGAGATCAACCCAGACTGCTCTTTAGAAGGCCAGATACTGAAGATGAAACTCAAATACTTTGGCCACCTAATGAGAAGGAAGGACTCCCTGGAGAAGAGTCTAATGCCGGGAACAATAGATGGCAAAAGAAGAAGGGGATGGCAGAGGGTGAGGTGGCTAGATGGAGTCAGTGAAGCAGTCAGTGTGAGCTTAAGTGGACTCTGGGGGATGGTGGAGGACAGGAAGGCCTGGAGGAATGTTGTCCATGGGGTCGTGATGGGTCTGACCCGACTTCTTGACTAACAACAAGAGACATCCTCCCAGAAATCTGGGAGGTGATGTTTGCATATGTAAAGGGCTAGTTTTTTTCTAGGCATGCTGAGCATTCCCAATTCACATAGCCAGCCTGATTTTTCTTCTCATTTCTTTCTCCCCAATACCCATCCATGGTACACTTTAATCAAGATTGACCCTTGCTTCTTCCTGAAAATCCTGCAGTGAAATCATAATTGTGGTCTTGCAATATCGGTTTGTTCCTGTAGGGATGGCAGTGACTGTGACATCAGTTGAGGGTGATGATGACCCCACCACGAATTTGAATGGGGGGGTGGGGGACAGAGGAAGAGGCCCTTTTAGAACAGCCACAATTAATAGTTAATCAGTGTGCCAGGGGAAATTAAAATGACACAAGGAGCCCATTGTTTCAAAGTCTATTTGGAAGCTTTCTTTGGGTACATATCCTCAGTGCACTCTTCTTATCAAGCCATAATAATACAAAAGGCCCAAGAGACACCCGAGTGTACAGAAAGCCAAGAGAGCTGTAGGGTAATCAGAGAAGGATGCAGCAGAAACCTCGCCCTCAGTGATTTTCATAAAAGCTTGCTACTTGCCAAGAGGATATGTCTGGTAAATATCGCTACAGTGTCCCAGGGGCACTGACTATTCTTTGGATCTCACCCACTGAGGGTAGAGAGCAAAGTCCACCTTTGGAGTGAGAGAGCTAAACTTACTCTCCCAGCCGGTGTGATTCCAAAATCAGCAGCGGCAAAAACTGTGCCACTTACACACGTTTACTCAGAAGCGTGTCCCATTGAGTTCTATCAATGAGATGCTTTCTCAGGAAAATGTTCTAGGATCACAGCCTAAATCATTTTAAAGGCATAGGACAACATTTCATCTTATCTGTATACTTCTTTCTGTGCACCCCTTGCCTGTGCAGCATCTGCAAAGCAAACAGTTCACCAAACTGAATGTTCATCCGCATAAAACAGCTTGCTTTGCAGCACAATGATGGAGCTGCAGTTGGGGCAAAATACTGTGATTTGTCTAACACAATTGTGAGCAGAAAGGCATGTAGCCACTGGAACTTGCGATCACTTGCATTGGAGCATGGCCAAGGAAGTGGTGCCACCGCGGTGCTGCTCTTGAGGGGTAAATTACATGAACTCATCCCCAAAATAATATAAGGTTGTGTTGGTATGATTACTTCTTGAGGGGGAAGAAAACCCTTGTGTTTTTTTGTGTATACTGAAATACCCCAGCTGCTGGTAAAAATCAAAGGGAACAATGGGGGTCCATTTCAATGAACTCAGATTTTCATCATATAGTTTTCCTAGCACCGCCTTTGCTAACCAGATGCCTTCCAGTTGTATAATTCTCCATTTCCCATAATTTCTAGTCAGCATGCAGACTAGGAACAATGGGAGTTGGAATCCAGCACATTTGTAGGGTACCAGTGTGGAAAAGGCAGACCTTGAAATTTTACTGAATATTATTCTAGTTTACAGAAGTGTAAGGGAAGACAGAATAAATTTAAAGTTATTTATTAATCTCCTCAATTGAAGTTATAGAACTTAAAATGCATACCTTCTGAATAGCTAAACTTCAGTAAATTAATTTTTAGTGAAATGCTTGGGAGAAGGAAATTGCATGGACAGGAAACCAGTATTTGAAGACAATCCCATTGTTAGCCTATGCATTTTAGCATCAAGTCTTAACATTACTTGGTGAACCACTGTGGGGAAAAGCAAACCCTATAATGTTTCCTTTCCTTTCCCCCTTTTATTCTTGTTTTGCAGGGGAGATACTGAATTAGAAACACAACTTGCTTCTGGAAATGCAGTTTGTGCAACACTTTTGTTTACACGATGGAAAAAATTCTGGATGGCTCCAGTTACAGTATTTATGGGGAATGTTATTATGTACTTTGCTTTTCTGTTTCTGTTTGCCTGTGTCCTCTTAGTGTATTTTAAACCACCTCCACCTAAAGGTCCATCCATCCAAGAGATTGTACTCTACTTTTGGGTTTTTACATTGGTCTTGGAAGAAATCCGACAGGTCAGTCACCCCCCTGAGAAGCAACTTTGCTAAATCTAACAGCTTACTTTGGCTCCTTCTTTGCCCATGCAAATTGCAGCTGCAGAGGCTCCAGCTCAGACTGGAACTAAAGGTGAAGGGTGAAAGCCCCCTACACTCTGTGCTAAATTGGGGTTTCCACACTGGCAATGTTTGTATGAGTGCATATATGCAATACAGTAAAGGCCAGACCTACACAGCTAAAGTAATACATACGTAGTTTGGCCCTTGCTAGAATATTAAAAATTAAGAGATAGAAAACTGGGGGAATCTGGGAAGACAGCATCATTTTATTACTTTATCCATTTCCCTTCCCTTCCCTTCCCAGTGAATGTCTGCTTCTTCCCAACACAGAACTGCAGCTGAGTGGGAGTCTACCGTTGCAAACAGCTGCAGCTGCAACTAATTGTCAGTTCTCATGACTACATTGGCACAGTGCAAGTAAAACTCTAGTTTCCCAGCCAGCTGCCAAGAACACATTAGCATGTACTGGCCTAAGAAGGCGGCTTTGCTTAGTCCGTGCAGAATTCCAAAGGCAGTAGCCAACCAATGGCATTGCAGAAGCAGAGGAAGCTGTCTTAGAGTGAATCGGGTCCTTTGTCCATATTGTGACATTGGCAGGCAGCAGCTTGCCAGGGTTTCAGGCAAGAGTTCTTTCCTTTCCTACCTGGAGTTGCCAGGGATTGAGCCTGAGACCTTCTCTCTGTGAAGCAGGTGCTTTACCACTGAACTATGGCCCTGGGATGCATGAAGCACAACTTCGATTGGCTGTTGCTGGGCTACCACAAATATTGGTTCTTAAGCATTTGGCATCCTACACCAAACCCTTATCTAGGATAAATACATTGTATGTTGGCAGCACACACACAGCTATCTCAACATGAGCCATCAGTTCCCATTTGAGCAAGCAAGCATCTCCTTGGCATCCATGCCCTTTAAAGAAGTATCTCTAGCCATTCAGCTATGCAGAGACCTACAGAAAAGGTGACCTCACTAGGCACCATGCAACAGCAATGAATTTCTTACTCAAATTACCTTGGGAATGTTGCATTACGGATGTTGTATCCCAGGGCATGGTCTGAAGGTGCAGGAGGAAGCCACCCTATCAAAGCTAAACAAGTCTGGGTCTGGTCAGTCCTTGAAGTGGCTCCCACCTAGGAACCACACATTGCTATCATGAGTTTCATGATGGAAGAAAGGTGGGGACATACATGCAATAAATAAAATAATAAAATATGGTATGGAACTGTCATATAGAATTTATTGCTAACTTCCAGAGTTTTTTCACTGATGAAGATACGAATTTAATGAAAAAATTCAAACTCTATGTAGAAGATAATTGGAACAAGTGTGATATGGTGGCCATCTTCTTGTTCATCATTGGAGTCACCTGCAGGTTTGTGGTTTTTAGTTTTTTTAATACAATGACACAAGTAGTAAATGGGAAGATAATATTGTAATAAGCAAAGGTCTGAAAAGAAGGTCTAAGAAGGCAATAAAATGGGCAGAGATGTGATACCTCCAGTATAAAATTAAAGCTGAAAAAGAGAAACATTTAAGAATATCACATGGTTTTGGAAAATATTAATAGGAAAGAGTTAATATAAAAACTGGAGGGCTGCTGAAGAAATGCAGCTAGTCCAAACCCTAGAAAAGGTCATTCAAAGCAATGCAGTTTGTTTCAGAAGTTTATTTGATGTTTAATGTGGATTCTAAGATATAAAAATCCAGTTGCACATAGTATCACAATAGTTATTGTTTTGAGCTCACTGAGACTCCGTTTTTAATTAGTATACATGACCCCTATCAGGAAAGATCATAGTAAGCTATAGATCATCATCTGAGCTGAGGCCAACTCATATTTCCTTACTCCTTTTTGCCTAGAATGTTTAATTCAACTTTTCAAGATGGTCGCACAATACTAGCTATTGATTTTATGGTGTTCACTCTCAGACTGATCCACATTTTTGCCATTCATAAGCAATTGGGTCCAAAGATTATCATTGTGGAAAGAATGGTAAGTACACAGAAAAGCATGAAAACAAATCAAGTTAGTAAAAACACCGAAATCAATGGGACTTAGATTAAGCATTTTTAATTTCAATGGGTCTACTGAAAATATTTAAGCCTGGATTCATTCCAGTATGTACTACAGCCTTCCAAACTGCTGCTGTTCAGATATTTTGAAGCATAACTCCTAACATTCTTGCCCATTGGCTGTGCTAGCTGAGGCTGATGGGAACCAAAACCCAGAACATCTGGAAATAGCAAATTGGGAGCTTATGCTGTACTGAGAAGTTGCAGCAGCTTCTGCAGTTACTGGTATAATGAAAGGGAAAAAAATGGGTGAAGCCTCCTGAATTTCTTTACGAGGAAAGTAACAATAGGAAGTTCCCTTGTAAATACTTCACAGAGTTAAGCTCCCTCTTTACTGAATTTATTTATAGTTGTTATATGCCATCCCATTATTAAAAGTCTGTGGATGGCTTATGAAGGACAAAAAACCAAAGAACAAAGAAACCATAACAACAACAACCAACTCTTAGATAGCATTGTGTGAAGTCCTTTCCTGAGTGGGGGGGATGTAAATGGCCGTGCAGTCTTGAATTCTCTGGCTGGCATGTATGAACTGATCATGCTCACATGATGGTGAGTGAATCACCACCTGCACATCCTCAAAGGCAGATTGTCCGTTATTATCGTTCCAAGACTAAGCCATGGCACAGAAAACAGATTTGATGTTTGACTCTAAGCCTCCAGATCTTTTCCTCCCATGTTAAAGTATTGTGGAATCCTGAACACATGATGACAAAAAAACCTTCACAATCCGGGTGTGGAACCTCAGCCCACAGACTACAAACAGCCAACCTGGGAGCCAAATCTGCCCAAGGGGGTCCCTAGGTGGCCATGACCCCTTTCCCAGGACCCACACCCTTTCCTTCCACAGCTTTTGCATTTTCCTTTCCCAGGCTAAAAGTTTGAAATGCCTCTCCTGGGACCTAGTTACTATCATGAAACGCTTTATGCTAAATTATGGTGGTACTTTTAATATTCAGGCTTTGCTGCTTTTGCCTTGGGAACTTCCCACCAACTTGCATGTGACCCCTGATAATTTCTCCAACATTGCAATTCAGTGCAACATCCCTGCTGCTGTGTGGTTTGAAAGGCTCCCTCCATCACATATTTAAACCATCAGCCCTCAGGGATGAGACCATGATGGAGGGATTAGTAGGGATTAGTATCAGTGAGGCAGCAGAGAGAATAGTGGCCTTTATGATGGGACTGGCATACAGACAGCTTGTAGCTACTTAATGAGGCTTAATTCTTTCCATTCATCATGGCTTCATCTATCTTACCTCTGCTCTGATACAAGGAGGGCTTCCTCTGTGCCCTGTACAGTAGTTTGCACAGTATCCTAATAAAATGGGCTGAATTTAAAAGATGCCAACTGGGCTCACTATTGAATCGTCATGGGATGTACCAGATTTGATGCATTTCCTGTAATTCCATTGATATTTAATTATATCATCATGGTGTATATGTAGCACAAAATAGGCCTTCCAGCTTAGCCGGGGTTAGCCGAAAGTGGAGTGGATCATGAGGGACAGAAAAGGTCCTTGATGACTCAAAAATCCCTAGTTTACGTACTTCTGCTTTGGATTTCTTTGCAGATGAAGGATGTGTTCTTCTTTCTCTTTTTCCTGGGTGTGTGGCTCATTGCCTATGGTGTGACCACACAAGCTTTGCTCCATCCTAAGGACAACCGAGCAGAATGGATCTTCAGAAGGGTGCTCTATCGACCCTATCTTCAAATATTTGGACAGATTCCACTAGATGAAATAGATTGTAAGTTGAATTAAATGCCTGTTGGTGTGGTTATGCTTGGATGATGAGACAAAGCAGCTAAGGTGCAACCTGCCAGGAACATTTTATAGAATGAGAATTGGCCTGAAGCGCTGCTGGACTCTCCTTTCTCTGGCTTAAGTGGGATTCATGCAAAGACAGAATTAAACAAGATAACCCCTTCATGCTTGCAGCTTAAGTCGGTTGTATTTGTACTATACTTCTGGGACAGGAACTAATACTGCTGCAGTGTTCCAGCTGTTCCTGTTGTGCTTCATAGAGCAACCCAGAAAACAAAGCCTGGGGCTGAATCCAGCCCACCGGGAGACTCAGTCTGGCCCTCTGAGGTTCCTCAGAAGGTGCCCCACTCAGACCGCTGATCACCTACCTTCTGTGTAGTGTCTTCCCTTGTCTAAAAGAGTGACATTCTTCTCTTAAACTTAGTCACTGCTGGCATAAGCTTTAAGCCAAAAGATGCTTGTGTATGCTCAGGCCAAAATGGAGAGGAAGAGGAGTAGGAGGATTATGTAAATCCTTTTTGGTTCCCTGCAGGAAAAGAGATAAGCTATAAATATAAAAAAAATACACAAAGAACTTTAAATAAAGAATTGTTTGGCTCACCCAATATTGCAATGCAGCCCCTCAGAGATTCTCCAAACTGGAATTTGGACCCTGGGTTGAAAGAGGCTTTGAAACCCTTTTGGAGTGGGACCATTTGTCCCTTTGGGAAGCCTTGTTTTCCTCTGTTCAGATTTGGGCTGAAGCAGCTTGGCAAACTCATAGAAGCTCTGAATCCTTAGTAGAGTCCCAAATAATGTTTTTCCCCACTTTTGTACTGCAGCCTCTCGGATGAATTCAAGAAACTGCACATACAGGCTGGTGGAGAGCCATGCGGAGGATGTGTCATGCCCTAATCTCTATGCTAACTGGCTCGTCATACTTCTCTTGGCTATTTTCCTACTGGTTACAAATGTTCTGCTTATGAATCTCTTGATAGCCATGTTCAGGCAAGTACCATTTCAGGGAAGATAGAAGGAGGGAGGGCAAGAAAACACAAGGGACTCTTTGCACGGCCATCACTGAACCTTTTGCAGGATAAGGGCATGACCATGGATGGCCGTTGTTGCATTTAGCAGGTACAATCCTTCCTTCTTAGAAAAGACTTGGTCTGCCTAAGCCCAGGTGGAATATATATGTAGCGGTAAATAGATTAAGCACAGTGCAAGCCTGGGTAGGTCTACTCAGAAGAATGGGCCTTACACCCAAGTAGTGGTACAGGATGCAGTGGTGCTTAATATAGTTGGAATTTAGGTATACGCAACATTTTCAGCAGAATTGCTGCTGATATTGTTAGTGCAATTCTCCAATCAGTTAAAATAGAATAGTTGGACTTTTGCCGACACACTCCACAGTGGGCTGAAAAAATAACTGCTCTGACTAAAGCTGGAAAATAACAAAGAACGCAATCTGCTATTCCTAAAAATGTCTCCCACAGAATTTAGTTCAATCTCCACATATTATTTATGTGGTGATGGTGGGGACTTAAGGACAGAATCTCAGCCTTTGCTAACTATTTATCAGCCTTCTCCAACCTGTGCCCTCTGGATATATCAGACTACAGTTCCCATCACTGTCATGCTGGCTGGGGATAATGGGAACTGTAATCAAACACCATGGAATGGTGTGAGGTTGGTGAAGGCTAATGTACACAAAGACATTAATGCTGTAGAAACCAAGGTGGATAACCTTCAATAATATTGCATTGTCAACATTAGATAGCATTTGAATATATTGACATAAGCACAATGTTCATGTTCTTAATATGACTTCACATACAGTGGTACCTCGGCTCATGAACACCTTGGTTCACGAACAAATCAGGTCATGAACAAAAATTTCTGAAAAATTTTGACTTGGGTCACAAATTCCACTTTGGGTGGTGACCAAGATCACAGCCATCTCCCCCCTGCCCCGAGTGGGGAGATGGCCACAATCCCAGTTCCGTTCGTGCAGAGAAGGCATGCGTGATCAGAGGCGCGCTCCTGCAGGAAAGACGGGAGCAGCTAAGCACAGCCGCGGGGGAGATGACTGAGATTCTGCCTGTCTTTCCTGCAGGAGCGCACCTCTGATCAGGCACGCCTTCCCTGCACGAACAGAACTGTGATCACGACCATCTCCCCACCCCCAGCACACCGTTTGTGCCCATCTCTCTCTCCCCCAGTGCGCCTGTGATCACACCCATCTCTCCCCCCCACCCCCCAGCACGCCGGGATGACGGATGCCTGCAGGGATGACAGGCATGTGCAGGGATGACAGGCACAATCTCGGTCGTCCTGAGCGGGCGGGGAGATGACCGCGCTTGTGTTTGGGGTGGGTGGGGGGAGATGGCCATGATCTTTGTTGTTGTCACTTTGCTTCACATTTTTCTGATTTAAAAAATGGTTACAGAATGGATTAACTTCATTTACATTGCACCTTATGGGGAAATTTAACTTGGCTCACGACCAATTTGAGTCACGACCAGAGTCCTGGAATGGATTAAGTTCGTGAGCCAAGGTACCACTCTACTTTAAACCAGCACATTTGTGCCTGTGGTCAGTCCATTTAATAGTGCATCCCTTAGACATTGTCTCTTAATGTAACACTGTGCCCCTTGGAGTTCATAGGCTAGTGCCATTTTATACTGTGTGAGCTCTTGACTTTTGCCTTGGTTTGGTGTTCTTTCATCATGCCTGCCTTACCTTCCTGGGGGCTTTCTAGCGCCTGGGTTGCACACGGAGGAGGGCCCACTGGCATACGCGCCGTAATCTACCTGATCACCTCAGTCCATGTACTGTAAGTGGTTTGCTTTCAGGGCAGCCAGTGAAGCAGCATTATTTCTGGCTGATCCTGAAGCAGGTGGAGGAACATTGTACTTTCATGGCCTAAGCCTTCAGCATTGGGTACTGTACTAAGGAAGTGAAAGAAATTTAAGTCTTGCCTCTTGTAAAACCAAACTATGCCTAACAGAAAGTAAAGCCAAGGCTAACGGTGTCTGCAAATGGTTAAAATTAATGTTCCCAGCTAGCAGATGTGCATATGCCAAATGTAGACACTTACACATCTGGACAGACTAAATATCCAAAAGGAATCTGAAAGGAACTGATGAGCAAGGAATCTGCATTGGGAAATAGTCAGTTGCTTCTGGCTACGAGTACATGATGAAAGAGCAACCAAGAAATGGCAGGAGTGGATAGAAGGCGGGACATCTGTGTGACCAAAAGCATGGCATCTGTGCCAAGATGACATCATGAAGATCTTCTACTGTCACCCCTCAAAGAAATATCTTGAATATTGGCCTTGACCACACTAAATGCCCAGACCTGCTCTTGTTATTAAATTAGAAAAGGTGTCTCGCATCACATCCAGAATGCAGTTGCTGAATTTGTTGTGTCTTTACCAGACTGTCAAAATTAATTGCACGTAGATACTAGCTGAAAAAAAATTGGCACCCTCTTATTTTAATTGGAAAAATATTAAGTACTTTGTATGTTTGAGAAACTAAGATATTGATATGTCTCTTCTTCCTTTTAAGTTACACTTTTCAGGTTGTTCAGGGAAATGCAGACATCTTCTGGAAATTTCAGCGTTACAACCTGATTGTTGAATACCATGGTCGCCCTGCATTTGCCCCTCCTTTTATCATTATTGACCACATTCAACTTTTTCTTAGACGAGTCTTTAAGAAAATGGAGCCCAAAAAGGAGCATCTGGGTAAGCAGGGGGGCATTCAGAACAGCCTGATACTTTGTTGTGGGACACTACTGTTTTTAAAATCCTAGCTAATGCAAAGAGGTAGCATTCTTTAAACATAGTAACACAGAAGTTTGCATATTAAGGTAAGGGGATTGGTTTGTTTTGCAGTGTTTCTGTATGATCACTAACAGTGCAACATATCCATTCAAAAGTATTTTACATATATTACTTTTGATATTACATATACAGAATTTTGGTATTATATCTACAGTGCTACATACATATCTATTTACTGGATTTACTTTCGGTTAAATAGGTGTGGGATCGCAGCTTTAGAAGCATAATATTGAGAACAAAACCTGATTAATTTCCCAAAGCAGTTCCCAGTGTAGCTTACACAATAAACTACAAAGATCCAAACTCATAAGGATGCATCTTTTCTTCTAAAGCCTATTTTTCATCTGTTTAATTATGATGCAGTCAGATTAGAAATGTGGCTGGTTACTTTAAATCAGTATATAAGACATACTTACATCAGAGGTGTGAGAGAGCACACAGACTGGAACTTATCTGTTGCCTACAAAGTCTCCAAAATATGGTTGCCGACATGTGAGGGAGCCACTTTTCAGACAGAGATCAGCTGTCAGGTGAAGAGTTGCTGGGATACTCCTAGTATGCAAGGGTAGTGTTCCTGCATGTATTACCTGGCAAAACACCTTAATATCTCTTTGAGATCCTCTTGCAAGAGACAGCAAGAACTAAGGTGCTGATCTTAGATGCTCCCATCTCATCCTAACAGATGATCAGTACACTCCAACCCTTCCCCCTTGTGTCATTCCAGTGTTTTGGTTTTCAGCTCCCATGAACCACAGTCACTGTAACCAATGGTCAAGAATTGGTTGCAGTTCAAAACATCTGGGGTGAATCAGGTCAGAGAAGGCTGTACTCACTGCACAAGTAACTGTGTATATGCGAGAGAAAGCAAAGAGATTTTCCTGAGTGCCAAAGTGAGCACATCCCCTTCTGATAGATTCAAAGTTCACTAGATTGTGACCTACAAATCGAACTATATAAAATGAAGATTTATTGCCTGGTTCACAAAATTCTGAATTTCTTCCTCCTTCCTCCCTCTTCTTTTCACAAATTCATTGGCAAACTTCCTATGAGTCCCTGCCCCCAGTATTTAATAATGTGGTGCATTTGTGTTTCTTCTATAGAAAGAAATCTGCCAGAAGGTCTAGATCAGAAAATCATAACCTGGGAGATGTTACAAAAAGAAAACTACCTGGCAAATTTGGAAACCAAGAAAAAAGAAAGCAATGAAGAAAGGCTAAAAAAAATGTCAGACAAGTAAATATTTGTGGTTCAAGCCTTCTAAATGGGTAGTTTGATGCCAGGCTGGTTACAAGGAGTGGTTACAAGAATCTGCCTTTTAGGTTAAATGGAATGAGGTTGGGATGGGAGTGAAAGCTGCCCCCTCTTCTACCTTACCCCACACTCCACTGTTTGAAGCTGTTTCCCACAGCTTAGTTCCTGTACCAGAAGTGCCAAGTTGTAAGTCCACCATTGTGTTTAAAATGTTTCTTAAACCCCTCACCTGCTTTATAGCCAAACTGATACATGCAGGTTTAGTCAACATACACAGGTCTGAAATGCAAGAATGGAGAAACAGCTTCTCCCTTAACCTACATGGATAACTAAGGGTGCAAATCCTAGGCATTTTTCCTGTCTGAACATACACTGGATTGCACCATAAAGCACTCAGCGTTATGTCTGGTGTGATTCTTTGGAAACCATTTTTGCATGATGATTGTAAGTAACACAGCATTATTGGAAGCCATTTTGGGTGCATCCTATGGCTGAGGTAAACAGCATGGGTTCCTGGTGTCCTGGGCCCCATTCAGGACATGAAGGCCTCCGGCAGACTTGCAGCTTGGCAGGCTGAGGCACTTGTTCCTTGGCACTTAAAAGATTTGGGTCCCTGGTCCAGAGGACACAAATCTGCATAAAGTTCACATCTGCTAAGTCATGTCTGTATATGCAGATTTGGAATGCTTGCTAACATTTATCAACATTTTACAGAAGACAAAGCCAGCCAGTTAGTTTCTCATCCAAATCCCCTGAAATAAAACAAATTCTTCTTCTGCTTCAGATCATCCCAACCTAGTATTTTCTCTTTCATAGCAATAATTTGCAATGTCTCACCATTCTTTCCAGTCATTAGCCATACTGGCTGGAAATGATGGGATTTGCAGTCCAACACATCTGGAGGGCACCAGGTTGGGGAAGGCTGCAGTAGACCCAGCAGGCAGTGTCCCAAGCATCTAATAGAGTCCCACCCATGCATGCACCAGGGCAAGGGCTACAGAAGCTCTTCTAGCACCAAAGTGTCTTTGCTCACTTTACTTTTGATAATCAGTCTTTTTCTTTAAAACCAGGATGAACCATCTTTCAAAGTATTTCATTGGTCTGAAAGAACAAGAAAAACGGCTCGGATCTTTGGAATCACAAGTAAGAATGCTGCATCTTGTACTTTTGCAATGCTTTTGTTCATGTAGGGCAAAATGAAGCCTTGATTAGCTAATATCAGGTCAAATGTTTGCTCATGTTTTAGTTAACAGAATGTTATTAGCTTTCTTTTAAAGGTGGATAAGTTACAGTCTCTGGCTAGCCTTACATAGGGAGACTTTACTGATCTTGGCTGATAATGTAGCAATCTATTATTTGTGCAGAGATATATGTCCCTGCCATACAATCAACTGTTCTTTTTAATCCTTCTGTAGCATGGAAGCTCTTTAATCTAATTCTAGTTCTATCTTCATTTTCCATTCATATTCCAAACACAGACAAGTATCTAGTGCAACAGAGGTGTAAGTAAACCAAGCTATTACCTTCAGAATCTTTTACATATCACTCAAATAGCACATTGATTCCAATCTAAGCTGCCCATACACTGAGCAGAAGGCACTCAAGTGCAGCAAAATAATGAAAAAGAAACATTAACAATGTAGTCCTAGACAGGACCCTAGTCTGAGTAAATGAGTTTAAATTGTAACCTCAGAGAATGTACTTATAAAGCTTTGCTATAGTTATTACTATCATCATTGTCTTATTAAACTTGGAGCAAAATCCATGACCAAATAACCCTTACAATGAGGCACTCCTAAACCACGAAGGAAAATATCACCCTTAAGTTGCAAGTGGATTTACCTTTATATATCTCTTGTCTGATTGTAATGCCAATCCATCCTTTTTTTAAAATGTTAGTGGTAAAGCCATTCATGCTGAAATAATTTGCTTTATAGATCAACTACTGCACAATTATCCTTTCCTCAATGGCAGACACCGTAATGAAAAACAGTTTCGTTTGCAACAGACCAGCTCTGAATCATGCAGGTGAGTAAGGTGCTGACAGTGATTTAAAAAAGAAATGGTTGAAATTTTTGAAAAATGGTAGAGAAGTAAAAGACAATATAGTGCGGTCCACAAAAAGCAAAGAAATGGCAATTTGCCACCCTAGAGTCTGCCAGAACCATAGCAAGAGGACAAAGTCCTTTGCTTTTTCAAGACAAAGATGGCATTTGTTATAGTAGAGAGCCAGTGTGTAATGGCAACGACACAGACAGCCCAGGCGCCTTCCATAGGCACAGCTGTGAACTTGTTAGGTAACCTCCAGCCACCTGGTCTTTCTTCACCTCAACCTTTCCATCCAAAAATGTGGAAGAGCAATACTGGTAGGCTCTATGGTATTATGTGCAGCTGAGAAGCTCACTGGGTGATCCGGGGCCAGTTGCTTTCTCACAGCTTCTCCTATTCCCTAGGCTTCTTAGGGGGAAAATGGACAAGCGGCAACTGGATTACCCCACTGAGTTCCTCACAGGAAAGGAACATATGAATAAAGCAACATTTAAGAGGCTTCATTGATATTGCATGTTTCATCCAGTGGGCTCAAACTGGTACACAGCACATTCTCTCCCAGTCTCTGCATCAGGGCTCGAACCAAGCTCAGAGGCCCTTGCTTCAGCAGTTTCTGTAAAAAGTGCCCTCAGGCTATGCCCAGGGAATGTTCATAGTGGAAACAGCATTAGCAGCATTTATTCATTATTCCTTTTATATCCAACCTTTTTAGCACTTGTAAAGAATGCAAGGCAGAGCCTACATGATCCTGCTTGTCCTTTTTATCCACAAAATGACCCTGTTAGGCTCAGAGTCAGTGACTGGCCCAAAGTCATCCAAAGAGCTTCATTGCCAAGTGAGGGCTAGAGCCTGGCTCACTAGAGTTCCAGTCCAACACACGCACCAGTATGCCACACTGGCTCTCTAATAGGTCTGTTGGAACCTTATCCCCTGGCCCTCAAAAGTGTTCCAGCATCACCAATATAGTCCATTTGCTAGTGGATCCAGGCTTTGCTGAGTTAATGCCTGAATAAGGGCATTCCCTTCAGTTCAGTTTTGGAGCTGCTGTCCACATGCAGGATGGGATGCAGATGGAGTTACGTGATGTTGCGGTAAATAAAGCCACTCCTGCTCAGCCATGAGGTCAGCCTTATACAATCTCGTGCTATCCAGATGTGTTGGCCTGCAGCTCACACCACACAGGTACATTATGGCTGCTGCTGGTGGGAGTTACAGTTCAGCCCATTTGGACAGCACCAGGTTTCAGTATGCCTAATGGGGCCCTTGTCCCAGCAGCCATGCAGCTAGCAAATGGGGAAGTTTCATTGTGTATTGATGGAATTTCCCAGCTGTGAATGTGAGCTGAGTTTCCTCCAAGACTCTACTTCAATCAATTGCATTTTGCTTCCACATGAGCAAAGGATCTCTTCAGGTCCCCTCTGAGACACTTCTCTAGGCACCAGAGTTCCCGCAAAAGCAAAGGCAGAGAGAATAGCCCTTTTGTAGCTGTGCAAGCTTCTGTGGATGAAAGCCTATTTCATCTGATGGGATTTGATCATTGAAGTGACCTACTCTATGCACTTGTATAGGAAGATGCCTGGCTCTCTCTTCATAGGATTAATGAGTACCCTGGTGGGATGAATGGATTTTCACTTTGCTTGGGTATATCCAGGACTGTATCCAGAGCAACAAGTTTCAGAAGAATCACTGTTGAAAAAAAAAGTTGCAGAAAAAATGCTTCTTTAGGCAGTGTGTTATTCAACTGCTACATTACAGCTTAGTGAGAAAAAAGGTTGTAAGGCTAGGAAATGCAAGAGGAAGTCTGCTACATTCATTCGCAGACAAGAATTCAACGTCACATAGGAACTCATTTACAGCAGCCTTAATTGGTCATACTGTCTTCCTAGCTATGCTGATTTTAACACCTATCCTGGGAGGTAAACCCATGCTTTCCAGATTGCAGATATTTTTAGTTTAGCATAGCTGGGAAGATAGCATCACCAATGACAGGCATTGTGAATTTTGCCTGGAAATGTGAGACCTACAATAGGCGTGTATATCATGACCTTTCGTCTTGGTAATTTACACAATGTTTTTCTTGGTGCTCAACACATTTTTGGAACTGAGGCCATCCCTAACTGCATCTAAGGAAGTGAGCTCTAGGCCAGAAAAAGCTTATAGCATAACTACTGTGCAAACACTAACAGGCCCCAGTGCTAGAGCAACAGGAAGTCAGAAGATCCTGCAGTAACGGGAAGAAATTGAAGCTCATTTTTGGAATGTAAGCAGATCGGCAAAGCAAGCAGAAGGGAGTCTTGTTGACCTGTTCAGTTCTAGAAATTAAAGTTTCCACTCATTGCCTGGGTTCCTATCCAAGGTACTAAATTTGGTTGTGCTCGTGATGGGTTGCAGAAGTGGAATAGACACACAACTGAAGCAGCAGTATTGTAAACAGCCCAGTAAATCCATCAAGATACCACACACCTCTTTGCCATGTTCCCGTGAATATTTGAACAGTAACACGCATGAAGGGTACAAGATTTTCTTTCTAAAGAAAATCAACGGGGTTATACAAAAAAGAATTTCTGCAGATATTTGAGAGCCTAGCCTATGCTTTCTTATTCCTCAAGTGACCAGTGTTCTTATTCTAAAAATCCTCACAGGTTCCATAAATACAGGCACAAATCAAATGCTTGCATCAGAAAGCAATGAAGATGGAGAAGGCTCCAGTCAGTCTGAACAGAACATGATGTACATTGATAACTAACTTTCACTTCAGATACTGGTTTTGGTTTACTTTTTGTCACATTTGAAAGGCACTTCTATCACCTAAAGCATATTTTAATAATGGAGCTTTATTCTATCAATGTTTACCATACAATGCTTACCTGATTTTAATCCTGCATTGCAATTATTTTAGCATTTTTTCTAATAATCTATTTCCTTTTCAACATTCTGAGATCTAGAATTCCTGTGGTGGATGTTTTGCGGTTGGATACAGAATTGCTCTTCTGACAGCAAAAGTTTTTTACTGGTGGAATGGGATTTCTGCATCCTCTCCACTTCCATGTAGGCCTCCATGCTCTCCAAATATGATCCAGAGTATTGGAGAATCCCCCAGAACAGACTTAGAGGGTGGGGGGAGCTCTAGAGGGGAGACAAAACAACATGGAAGTTCCATCCCAACAGTAGTACCCTTTCTCTGGCAAACAATTCTGGATGCAAACTTTTATCTTTACTATACAAATCTTACATGACTGTGAACTTCGGTCAGGTCAGGTCATTCTAAACCTTATTAGCAAGATCCAGAATTTGTACAAAGTAACAGTGCACCCTAAAGTGTTACAGTCTAAGGAGAATAATGTGTTCCAATAGTTTTCCTTTGTATATAAACAAATAACCAAATTTCAGAATTAAACTGAAGGGCTTATAGTATCTCCTTAATGGATTATTTTCCCCCTTATATTTGTTTTTTATACTCTTATAGCTTATCTGAATGATTCTGGGACTGAAAACAAGGATTGGAAGACTGGGGTGAGAAGGTAGATCTCCAGATGTGCTGAACTTCAACTACCAGAAGCCTCTACCAGCAAGGCAGGTCAGGAATCCTGGGAATTGAAGTCCAAAACATCTGGAGACTTATTTCATACCCAGCACTGCCCGAAGAGCAAATAAATTAGATTTTTAATACTTGCCAGTAGGTAGCACATTGCATTCAAGAGTGCTTTTGTGTTTGAACTAGCTGGAAAAACCTTCATGATTATGTGTTGTTGTTGTTAGTTGCGAAGTCGTGTCTGACCCATTGCGACCCCATGGGCAACATTCCTCCAGGCCTTCCTGTCCTCCACCATCCCCCAGAGTCCACTCAAGCTCACACCGACTGACTCCATCTAGCCACCTCATCCTCTACCGTCCTCATTCTCTGATTATGTGTTATATGCAAATAAAAATTTATGCTGTTCCTAAAAAGTTGTATCTATATATTGTTGAGAAAGAAAGCACTATGTATGTAAACTATTGCACCTTGATCAGGCTTTTGTCATTCATAATTTGTTGGATGTAGTTTCTGTTCTAGGCTTCCACTTATCACAAATGCCAGCCCTTAAAAAAAACAGTAATTGTCCAGTGCATGTTTGGCAGGCTCTTCAAAAACACACATACAACTGAGCTAAATCATTATGAGCTGATGTACAATCACCCAATCTGCATTTCCCTCCCTCTCCCCTCCCCAAATCTACTTGATCCTCTGAAATAGATTTTGGGGGAACATTAGGAGCTGCAGCAGGGAGGGGAAATTTGATTTGCCAATGTTGTCCATTCTAATGGACAACGTTAATGGAATGGACAACAAAGGACACTACTGGCGGCAAGCAGTAGTGGTAAGAGTTCTACCAAGTAACTTAACTAGCCCTCTCAAGTGCCAAACTTAAGCCCACCTGCAACCACAAGAATGGCAAATAGAGCTTTTTAAAACATCTATATTGCAAGCAGAAACTCCACAGATGAAAGTCTTTTAGGTATGGAGATACAAGGATTGGGAACTGTTGCATTTGCTGGATTTCTGATAGTCCTGGTGATGTTATGCCCACCAAGGAAAAAATGACTAACTTACCCCATGCCAAATCCTTGTCCAAAAAAAAAAAAAAATGCAACAAAGGACTTTTGAGAGGAGCTTCAGAGACTGTCAAGAGGTTTACATTGCAACACTGCTATTGGACTGGTCAAATATAGCTTAAGAGAGCCAGAAAACCACATCAAAGGAAACAGATGCCTCTTAGAAAATCACCACCACACCCATAGACAAAAGGGCTCAAATTAGTACAAGATAGATTTGGTCCACTTTAATTCCATGTAAAGGATTACTTGGGGTTGTGGGTGATAGTGGCTCAAATCAAGACATGTAGAAGACTGTGTCTGGCCAAATGATACCCTCAACTGATGGCTCTGAAGATGGATTTCCAAATAGTAACAATCACCTGGCAAGGTGAGCATTAGTAGGCCCCTCTCTGAGACATCAGGTAAGAGAAATTCACAAACTTGTTGACCAACTTGGAGCAGCCTCCCCCATTTGGTGCTCTCCAGATGGTGAATGGTCAGGAATGGTAGTTATTCCAAAAACGGAAGGACACCAGGGATCCTACCTCTGTGCTACAGCTACCAAAAGAAGGATTAACACTTGCTGGTGCTAATCATTACAGACTGAAGCATCTTCGGCATGAATGTAGAAAATGCAGGGTGAAAAGGGGGAAATGATGCCATGAACACAGTAAGGCAAGGAAGGCAATACAAGTAGTGCCACAGTAACACAGATCCAGTTTGAGTGTTAATGACCTGTAATGACCCGAAAGATATAGTGAAAATGGATAAGAATTATATCAGGTGTTGGAAAGTAGATGGAACTTTTTCCTTACGTGGTGGTCATGTGGCAAAATAAAAAAAAAATGGGAAAAAGTACATGCAGAAATACAGAAAGTTTTGAAAAGTCATTTCCCTATGGTTGCTAAGACTATTTTGCTGAGCTTTGAACAAGAAACTCTGCCTAAGAATATGGTACAGTTATTCAAATACATGATAACTACAACTAGAGTCATACTTGCTTCAAAATGGAAAGAAGGTAACCCAACTAATGAGAACTGGAGAAACAAATTAGCAGACTATGCAGTAATGGCAAAACTGACTAATTATGAAAACAGAAAACCCGTCAATTCAGTGATAAGTAGAAACTCTATTATGCACAATTTACTTCATAAAAGTCTATATATGAACAGTGGAACTTCTGAAAATATTGTTAATATTTAAACTATTGTTTCACTACTATAGTAAGAGCTAGATAAATGAAATAGAATTCAGAAAATATTGTTAGAGATTAATTTGCGTACTGATGCTTTGTTGTTATATTAAGCTGATTTAAGATAAATAGATCTACTTATGTACAGGATAACTGTGACTAGAGTTTGAATTGCTTTAAAATGGTAGGCAGAAGAAATTTAATTATGGAAGATTGGAATAGTAACTTAGTTGATTATGTAGCAATGGTAAGACTATTTAGAAATACAAGCAGCCAAAGAGAGTATGTAGAAATTGTATTATATACAACCTCTTTTTAATGGGGATAACAACAGAAAACTACAAACCAAAATTGGATTAGAAGTTTTGAGAAAATTATGAGTTTAGAAGAATCTACAATGAATTTTGGTGCAAAAAATGATTGTGTAGAAAGGATGGTAATAGTTGATTTACAGTGATTTTCCTTAAATATTTGATATTCTAGGTAACATTTGTTCAAGAACTTTTGGTGTTTCTTTGTAACCTTTATGTGCATCTGTATTTCTCCCCCCTCTTCTCTCTGTATTTTGCTGTTATTAAAACATTTTTAATGACCCACAGTATTAAAAACAGATGCAATGTGCTGCCTGCAATGCATCAGTCTCTTCTGCTTATACTCCACAACCCACTATCAATTTTTGTAGGGAGTGGAGTATAACATCTGAACCTGGACCACTGGGTTGCTTAGGAGTTAGCCCAATAATAAACCATAGGTAAAGTACTGGGCTGTCTGGATGTCACACTCCATAAAAGACAAAGGGGCCAATCAAGGTTTGTGGAATAAAAATGGAAGAGGTAGGTGTGCTACTTGTGCATGGCAACTTATCCATTTTTAAACCAATGGGTTGTTGTTACATGTGAACAGGGCCACACACAAGAATTTGGAAACAAAGCATGCAGTGATGTAAAGTTTTATTGACACAGAGAACTAAGAAAAAGATCTTATGGTAGATTTATTCATAAGACCATTTGAATTCTCCTCCAAACAAATCCGATTGAGTTAATGTGAAATCACTGCTCTTGAATGTGCAGCTCTTGGATATACAGATGGAAATGTCATTGTTGTATGGCAACAGTTGGTGCTAATTCAGGACTGAGATCTTTCTCCATTTTTCATTAGCCAATGAATTCTAGTCCTGCACTTGCTGATAATGTGCTTTAAGAAACTTCTCCGTGCACTTCTCCAAGTCTTACTTCCATGATACTAACCGTCTGTTGCCAAATGCCATATGACAGAGAAACAAGATACCATCCATGCTGCCCTTTGCAACATGCATCCTCCACTCTATCTCTCCACAACATAATGGCACGTTGTATACTGTGTGCTTATTTTCACTGGCATTGCGGAAATCTTTGTTTCACATGCTGCCAGTCAAGCATATGCAACCACCCCCACACTGATGCATCTTGGACCTCATCGACACAATATATTTTGTCAACAATGGGTTGATGCAGTCTTTAAGATATTCATTGATAGGATCCCAAAAAAGTTAATGGATGAACAAAGCAGCAGCTCACCAAAATCTGAACAGGATACACAGTCATATGAATTGCACCACAACTCATAAAAAAAACTGACTGCTCCCACAGGTAGAACCTCAGTAGGCATTTCCAGAACACCTCAAACAAAACCTAAAAATATGAAAATCACCTAGTTTTGATTCTAGACATAGAGGGATGGGTTAAATGGAATGTTTTGGATATTTTAGGTCACAGCTCCAAAAAAATTGCTAAACATGCTAAACAAAACAAGCAACTTGCCAAAACTCATGCAAACAATGAAATATTTTCAGGGAAAAAACACTTCTGGAAAGATGTGTTAACTTCAGCTTTTATGATTCTTCCTCCCCTTCATCATGGCTAGCTTTAGGACGAAAATGTTTCCTGTCCCTCTTCTTGCTACCATGGAAGCCCATGGTGACCACCACTCTCTCTTCATCTGCCTCCGAAGAATCTGCTTCAAGACTTCTTTGAACAATCATTTTCTCAAGCTTCAGCTGCTTTTCATCCTCCACTTCCTTTAAACCACTCTCTGAGGTATCTGGTATTACCTCACCTGCCTCATTCTGTGTGTCAAGCTTATTTGGAGGTTTTCCTTTGAGCTCCTGCTTTAGATTGATTGGCTTGGCCTCTTCATTCTCCTTTGCAGCTGCTCTTTTCCTTTCTGAACGATCTGAACCTAGCTTTGTGGGTTTTGTAAAGACAATCCTCCCAGCACCAGAGCTGGAGGGATCCTGGTTAAAAGATGGGGCATAGCCTTCAGGACAGGTGGAGCTTTGTTCCCCTCTGCTCTTTGTCAAGCCTTCCAGGAACTCCATGGCAGCTGACCTGTTGGTCTTATCACTGGACTCTGACACATCCTCCAAGCTGTACTTCGTCCAACGTTCTGGATGTACTATGTAGTCAGGAACTGTTTGGGACCTTATATGAAATGGAGAGGGCCTCCTTTGCCTTCCTGGGCTTTCCATGGGTATCTTGTTGGAAACGTTGGGTGGAGGGAGGGGGCGCTTAAACCTTCCATCAATTACATTGTCTTCAGCCATTGAGGGCACTGCCTGTTTGGCTGCCCCTTCCAGACAGTCAAAAATGCTCTGGCTACGCTGGGAAAAGCTGGAACTCATGCCTTTCAGATGGAATGGCTGGACCTGTGATTTCTGGTCCCTGTTCAGAGCATTGTTACTTTCTTCTGATCCACCAACCACATCATCCGAGGGAAGGGAGTCCTCAGGAGATACCGTATCGACTTCAGCATCACCTGCAAACCCAAAGTCCTCAGAATCTGAATCACTCAAAGAAATTGTATCTGAGGGAAGAACACCCTCATAATCTGTGGCCCCACCAGCCACAATACCCACAAAAGGTTCTCCTGCACCTTCATCTCCCATCGTTGGGTATTTATTTGGTTCTGCTAACTTGAATTAGGTCCTGCTGCAGCCAGTTATGTTTTCCAACTGTCCAGGGAGTTTAAAGCCTAGAACAAAAAAGAACAATTAAACATGTTCAACTGGGGAAAGGAGGGATACCATGACAGCTGGTCCTTCAAGAGAGAGACTTTAAAACCGAAAACTCCAAAAGACAAAAAGGAAAAAAGAAGAATTAGCTTTGATGGTCAACCCAGTCACTATCTTTAACTACTTTGACATTGTCATGTGCCACATACTGATTTCTCCCCTTCCTGTAATGTGTCTACATTTTTTAAAATAAAACTCTACTCTATACCTCACATACCAGTTATGATTTTACAGACCTGTTTCTATCATTCCTTGTTTAGTTAAATGCACCAGCACATCCTCTGCCACAAGGCACAATTAGGTAAGAATAATTTTTTTAGAAGAACTGTAAGCGGAGCAATTTCTAGTGCCCTAGGTTTGGGATCAGATTTACAAAATGTAAGTTCATTTTAGGTGAGAATTATGCTTAAATTATGGTTAGGTTGTCAGTATACCTTTGCCAGATACTGTGGTCTAAATATTTAATGCTAAATATTTCATATATTAAATGGGGCATGTTCCTCCTTATAAGAAACATTTGTGTAAGGCAAGCTAGAAATATGACCCAAATTAATACTAACGCTAACAAATTAACCAAATACAGAACATACAATTGAAATCTATTGGTGATAAATGTCTCTCACCCCAGAACAGTCATATGGTTTTGTCTCTCATTTGAAAAATAATCTTGAATATATGTCAGTGGCCTTCCTCCAAACCTTTTATAGATGTGTCTCTTCCTTTGCAATTGTTATTCTACTGTATCTTTTTATAACTGTCTGCACTGATGTGGTACCATTATTACTTGTGTCCAACTCTGAAATGTAGCAGTTTTTATTTTCATATTTTCCTTAAATGACTTATAAAAAAGACAAAAGAGCTGGGCATTCAGCATTCATGGAATTTATCTGGTATCTTTATGTGGTTAAACACCAAGCTGGTTCAGAGAACTTAATCCCATCTTTCTCATGAACTTCTTCTCATGAGGGCCTTCGTGGATGCTAATTTTTCCTATATCCATCCAGGTGCCTGTGCTGTTCAGTGGTTCTGTAACACTAATTTTCTTATCCCCTAGCAACTGATGGGGAAATATTGTACTGGATGGAAGCTGCACCAGGTCTTACTTTATGGTGACAGTAAACAGGCATGGAAAAATCTACTAGCCACTCACCATCTGGAGTTTGAACCAGCACTCCATCCTCTGGATCAGTTAAAGACACCAAAGTTCTCAGATCCTGTACCCTGGCAGTAAGAGGTTGGACATGTCATCAGCGCAAATAAATAAACGTGGAGTAGCAATTAACCAGTATGTCAAAAGTACTTGCTATTTTGGTATGTGTTGTCTCTAGCCTTGCACTAATACAATCTTCAAGTAATCCTTTTAAAATGGGAAAAGATTTTTGCACATGTTGCACAGACATCAATGTACCTATTTGGATATAGGACCTCAGCATGACACTGACACTGCTGTCTGACTTGCAGAGATAGTTAGACGTCCATTTTCTAAACAGAGGATGGATCTGGTACTGGCTACTTGCCAGCAGAAAGAGAACGGACAAAACAGATGTTCCCCTGCCTCCTGCAGGCCCTACCCAAATCTGCTGTAGCAGATTGGTCTTTTGGAGCAAACAGGCAGGAGGGTGGGTGCTGCAGGCAGAAGCTGAGAAGAAGCAAGGGGACGTTGCATTGTGTGAGTAGATGTCTGCTTGTGCAATGGATTCAACCTAGAACAATTAATAAGAGATTCAACTAATTTCCTTAACAGTAGCAAGAAACTGAGGAACTGGAAAGAAAGAATGCAAACATTTATTGTAGGCCTTTTTCTGTTGGAACTTAAGATAGGATTTTACTCTTATTAGCTTTATTTCTCAGGCTGAAATAAATGGAAAAATTTAAAGGCCCAAAAATAGACATCATACAAGCTGTATTTTTTTTTCAAGTGAGGCTTTAGGTTTTCTTCACTGGCAATATATGGAAAATGAAAATGCAGATTACATAAAGAAAAGACTCACAGGTTCTTTGTAGTGATCTGATTAGTATATAATTCAAACAGAATGGCTTCTCTCTGGTTAGAAAAGTCCCCATCAGAATCTTCCATACTAGTTTTGATCTGTTATCTCAGCTGTAGGAAAAACAAAAAAACACACACTCTTGCAGCAACTCAAGTCTTCAGTTTTGTCATTATCTGATACATAAATGCTTAGCTCTGATTCAGATGTTTTTGTGTTGGACTTTCAATAAATAATGGGACTCCATAGCTGTATCTGTCATCAAGTTACATTTTTGTAACTTGTCAAAAGCATACAAGCCAAGGAAAAGAAACTACAATATGCTGCACTCTTTCATACAAATTCCAAAAAGACCTCACAAGTCAGTTACTAATATGTAACTCCTGCTTTTTCAGAGTGCAAAAATCATTGGCTGAGATCCACTGTCCCAAAACAAGACCTCCATGCATCAGGAGGACTCTACCAGACATCATCACATTGAAACCAACCATTGCAGGGAAACTAGAGAAAGTCATCTAACTGAATGGAATACCCCAGGTTAGTCTATCAGGAAAGCCACTTATAGGAAATTCAATTCCTTCTCCCACCATTTTCTAAACAACGAGCACTAGCGTGTATGTATTTCCTGACCCCAAATAGAGCAATAACAATGAGCAAGCTCTCTACCTGCTTTCAGTTAAAAGCATGTTAAAAGCCTTTTAACTTGCAGATATCATTTGCAGGAGTACAGCTAGCACGAGGACGTTATGAAAAATCTGTTGAGTGCTATAAAACACCAATGTCACTGATGTTCTTAGAAGCAGAGGTGCTCCCTTTTGTAGAGTTGCTACCTCCAGCAGAAGACATTGTAATACATGAGGTTATACAACCATGGCAAGCACATGACCCTATATATAGATATATAATCTCTGGAGCTTGGGCCAAGAACAATAACCTAGAATAGAGTCAACTGGAAGACATTTTTCTCCACTCACTGATAAGATGCCAGAGTTTGAGGGTAGACAAAAGAAAGGACTTCCCCATACATGGCATTAACTTGAGGAATTCACTGCCACAAGACATGGCAACAGACACTGATTCAGATGACTTTAAAAGATGGTGGTATCAAAGAGGGCCAGGAATGCAGGGTTTTTTTTTTTTTTTTGCTTCATTCTCTAGAGGGCGATGCGATTTAAGGGATACGCTCCGTGACGAGCACGCACATTCAAAAGGATTCCATTTTGCTTTAATGGACCCGAGAGAATTTGACAATGGTCGAAGGGCAGGCCCATTACGAGCCATTAGCCCAGACGACTCCTTCAGAAGCAGTGAATCCCCAGAAGCAAGTGCGAAGGGGCAGAGAGGAACTATTACTTCGTGCTCGGCCTGTGGGCTTTCCGGGCGCATCTGGCTGGCCACTTCCAGAAACTAGGTGCTGGACCTTCGGCCCGACCCGGCTATGCAATTCTCTCTCCCTTCTCCTTAATACAACCGAGAGTACCGCGGGCCGCTCCCGGGAACGACATCACCAGCGGGGTAACAGCCCCGTTGCACCCACAGGGCAGCCTCGCACCATTCTTCTTACCTCCGTCCAAGCCGGCCCCTCCGCGCCTTCGCCGCCCCCCTACACCAACTCACTTCAGTCAGGCACCGACTACTGCAATCCTGCCGCGGCCTACCGTCTTCCGGCGCACGCTTGGGACATGAAGTTTTACTGTTTCAGAGCACAGTAACAAACGGCACTAATTTGGAGAGCTAGGACTACCTATCCCAGAAGGCTCCTCGCAGATAAGCCGGACTTCTTCCTCTGACCTCTTTTCTCGATCGATTCGGGATGCCGTTTTTGTCTCCGCCTCGTGGGGTGCGTGAAGTGCGTGTCTTCACCGTAGAGCTAGAAAATCAAGAAGAGTACGTGCTCTTGGCCACTCTTGTTTCAGAGTGGGGTAACAGCCCAACATGCTGCCTTACATCTGAGGGCGGCTTTCATTTGGGAAGAGATGAGTTCGCGGCTGTTAATCTAGATGTACCTTTGCTGCCACCCAAAGTATGGGTTCGTGTGGGAGTTCTTTTCGTAGAAATTCCAACAAAAATGACGATTTTACCCTCCAAAAGATGGACATGAGTGCACTGGAAATTTGTATACGAATCAGCTGTATCACTGTTCTCTTTTGCAGGTTGGAGTAGAAGAGCCTGTATCTGGGATGTTGGGCGAGCCTTTAAAGAGGGGGCAACTGTCAATCACTGTCCAGCGCAGTGCCACCTGAAGTGTAGAATCATAACAGAGGGTATTGTAACCCCTATCCCCTAAAGGACCCATTGGCGATCCTCCCCAGCCCACGAACATGCCTGGAAAGAGCCAGGTAGGGGTTCTCTCTGCCTATGGGAATATTAACCGCAAACTACATTACAGGGCTGTTATAATGTGCCCTCCTTTAGCCCCAACTTATAATAAGTGGATAGCAATTTTGTTCATCTGTTATTACCTTATTACACTTACATGCTGCCTTAATTTCCTCCAAGTAACCCAAGGTGGCATACATGGTCCTCCCCATTTTATCTTCACAACAACTCTGTGAGGTGGGTTATAGGCCGAATGGAGGCCAAATGTCCACGACGACCAAAGACACCCAATGAACCTGCACTAGAACTCAGATCTCTCAAGTCCCAGTCCAAAACTCTAACCACTATTCCACATTAGCAATTCCTTTCAGGGGTGCAGCTAACAATTCTCCTAGGTCAGCACTATGAATATATTTCTCTGCTTCCCCTCCCTCTCCCTGAGAAATGGGGACAGTAATATAGGACAGTTATTTCTCAGTTCCTAATGCAAGGAAGCATTAGTAGGATTGTTCTTGTTCATCTTCAAAAACTCAGAAAATTTGCTTTCCCTGTACACAAGAAAGGCACAAGCTTCTGTCATTGTTTCTACTTTTGTTAGAGAGGACAATTCCGGCAAATCATGGTACCAACAAAGTCCTAGATTTTTATCAAGAGCTGCTAGCACTTTTTCTGAAGTAGAGAAGGCAAGACAGAGTGCTAAGCTTCAAAAATAACCAGACACTTGTTTATGGCTGTGGTTTCAGCAGCATACTTAGCAAATGCTCTGTGCTCTGAGGTGGCAGGACAGGTAGTGTGGTGCTGTCAAGGCAATTTATCATGCATCTGGAGTTTGTTTCCTGTGTGTGGTTTACTGCAGCACTGTGTTGGCTGTTACTATTGTCACTCCATGTTTTCCTTTAGCTCTCTAAAATCTGACACTACAATTCAATACAATGGGTCCAATGGGTCTGTTCACAGAATTGATGCAGCCATTGATGGGTTGTGGTGTGAACTGGTGACCGTTTTGAATATTCAAACTGCAGCAAGTAGTGCTCCTGGGTTATTGTGTTGTCTGAAACCAGCAAAGGGGTGGTGGTAGCATGGTCAATAGCAGGGTGCACTGCCCAGCATGTCTTGAATGTTCAAAATGGTTGTGGGCATGCACCACAAAGGCTTAAAAAGCCACAGCTGGTTCAGTGATCCTGTGAATTGATACCTATCCAGAGGTAAGCTGCACTGAATGTGAATGGGACTGAAGAGCTAGTGCATCTTCTTGTATGCACCCCATCTATATTTTTTTAATAGTAAAGAGGCACAGGAGGAGTATAAAAGGTTTAAAACCACCAATGTCTGTTGTGTATATGAAGATGACACTTGTTGAGCTAATAACTTGAAACTTGGCACCCATGATGTACAGCTATGCAAATTTCAAGTAATCTAATAAATTTTGCCACAGATATAACAAATTAAATGGTCCTGAAACTGGAAAAAAATCAATCTTTTTAAATAAAACATGCATTTCTTTCCAATGTGGGTGGAAACTACTGATATGCTTTATCCAGGCTTGCTGAGGAAGGCAATCTTTCATCTGTTTGGCAACATTCTGAGCGGTGGTTCAAAAGTTACTAAGGTTTTCATGGCCCCATTAAAGCCTATAGCAGCAGCTGCTGAGAATGATATACGGGATATACTTGGTTCCATTTTGAGCTAGAATGCTTCCAGTACTCCAGTGTACTCCTATGTTTGCAGAAGGAATTTATGTTCCAAAGGAGAACCAGTGGATTCCATATGCAATGCCTATTGGATTATGGAAGGTGGCCATTCAGGGTTAAGGAATATGTTACTCTACAGATTAGGACCATAGCTTGCCTTTTTTTTTCAGTGTGGCAATAAGGCCTATAAAACCCTCCCATTTGATTAGACTGGAAGATGTCATTTATCCCGCATTGTCATAGGTCTGCAAGTTGACTCACCAGATGTTAGAATCATGGGGTATTTCACCCGAAAAAAGAGTGCCATTGAAAACCCCTTGGTAGTAAAATACTTGAAATACTTCAGATAGAAGTATCTTCTTTGCCTGGATTAGTTTTGTGAACTGGAATGACTCTCAACTCCTTAGTGGCAGCAAAAGGTAGTGTGGGTGCTCTGATGAACCAAGCCTGTAGTGAATCTATCAACAAGAAAGGAGAGGTGGACCAACATGGATTAAGAACAAGTTCAGATGTTACACAAAGGACTAGAGGCAGAGGAATAGGACCTGTGGGGTTGGCTGCCAAGTGTTTTAAGACAGTTTGCCCCACTACTCAAAGGTTTCTTAATAGGCTTGGTAATCTACATTATCATACTTGTCATAGTTTATATGTTTCTCATTAAATATTGTGCTACCTGTTTACTGAAAAAAAAATAATTGAAAAATGTATGCACAGGAGAGCTGATCACATGGTGACTATGTGAATCATTAGAGTCTGGGCAAGATGAAGACTATATTGTGGTTGTGAGAATAATGAGTATTAATGCAAAGCAAAGCTGTTAGCACAAAGGGGGAATTGTAAAAGAAGGTCTCAAGCCTAGTCTAAGAAAAGGCTTCCGATTGACCTGAAAGCTCTTCACTGCTTTTTGACCCTACATAGTGGGTAAACTGTGTAAGGGTAAAGAAAAGTACGGATTGGCTTAGAAAAGATACATTACACAGTGACCATTGTTCTAAAATGAGAATGGCTCTTGCTTGAAGAAATTGTGAATTGCTCTTGCGTAAAGCTGGATAACTGCTGCTAACTGCAGACACTAAATGTATTTTCCATCATGATGTCCTCCCACGGTATGTACATGATGCAACACATAACAGTATGTGCATAAGTACTATAAATATAGACCATGTAATGGGAAGAGCAGGGAGCTGGCTGTACAAATCTTTGTGCTTTAGACTTTCTCTTCTCTTTTTTGGAGTGCTTCTTGTCTTAATAGAATCTCTGGCAGATTGAACTTCTAAACAGAAGTGAAGGCTATTTCCTTCAACAGGACTGCTTTTTCTAAGTTACAAAATTATGCAGACTCGTAGTCTTTTTCCCCTTCCTTTTGGGGGATATTCATGCACGTTCACACTTGTACTAAGGCACATTAGCACAGGTTCAAATTAGTGCTAATGCATATTAGCTGAAGTGGAATTAAATTTTCATGCATCCTTGAAAAGAAAGTCTGAGTCTGTCATTGAGTAGACAACAGCATGAAAAATGCCTGACAATCAGTGAAATGTGGCTTGCACCCGACATAGTTTTCAGGCAAAGCAGTCTTACTTATTTAACATTCTATCCTCTTTTTTCTGCTGAGAAGGCCCCTACAAATGCTTTTCATGCATGATTGTTGAAAACAGTTTAAAGAGTTGGAGATGATGACAGCTCAGTTCTCTTGCTCCTGAAGTATTTGGGTCTAACAGCCTCTGTAAGGGTGCAGTCCTGGATCTTACTTAGGCTCTGATGCAAATCTCCAGGAAACTGGGAGGAGAGTTTCTGCTTGGTAAATTTGTAAACAGTGGAAATAACATCTACTTTATGTCCCTGGTGAAGTTTTCTTTGTCAGAAGCAATACAGCCCAAAGGAAATCAGCAAAGCCTCCTATGCTTGCAGTTCTTCCAAGGTTAATTGTGATGCCATGGACTTTTAGATCTTCCTTAAAAAAAAAAAAAGTACGTCCTTCATCATGTGCCCTCTGTAACATAAACTGCTGTCATTTCATTTGCATCATCAGTTTAAATCCATATGTCTTCTGGAGGACTGCTAATTACAGCAGTTTATGTCAAGTGAGCTCTTTTTTAAGTATGTTGCACAGCATTGGCATACCAGATGAGGAAAAAAAAAATCTTTATTCTGATGTGAAAAAGGAGATTTAAACCAGAAATACAGGGATTCCTATTTGAAAATCCAGTTACTGTTCCCAAATATAAAATGTTGTCATTAATTGTGTGAGATAGGGTTGCCAGGTGTCCTTTTTTTATTGAGGACCACCCTTTGTTTGAAGGACTTTCCTGTTCAATTCCAGTTTAAAAATAACTATCACACTTGTGGTCCATCATAAGTTAGCATCTGGACAACTAGCTTCTGAACAGACGTGTGCACAGGAGAGTAGTAAACTGTCGTACTCTCCATCCTTTTCTCACTATGGTGAGGTGGCGTGTTTCTATTTACATTATTGCAATTATTTCTAAATTTGCAGCTATGCGTATTAACACATGCAGATTTTATGCAGCTCACTGTCTCCTGTTTCCCTTTTTTAATAGTTCATAAATGGCCGCTCTGGAGGAGGTGTTACCATAAATGAGAAGTTAATGGCATGGCAGGGTGGGGTGAGTAAAGTTTCACAAATAAACATATTTTGAAACATATGAACTTTGGGCTTGGCGAATGCCACTTCTCTTCTAGTCCCCAGGTAGAATTCCTACCATACTGAAATAATGTGTAGCCAAAAACCAATACGAGGCCAGCGGTGTTTTGTGGGGAGCTGAGACTGGGCATCACTTCTGCATGGGCAGAAGTGATGCCATTATGACCCTATGGAGACCCTTCAGCCCACGAGTGGGCAACTCATGGCCCTCCAGATAGTTTGATCTGCAGCTCCTTCTTATCAGCCCTATGCTGTATAGCCTTGGCTGAGGGATCATGGGTGCTGCAAGTCAAACATCTGGAGGACCACAAGCTGCCCACCTCTGCTTAAGCCCAATCCTCACTTGTACAACCACTGATAGGACTGGGCCTCAAGAAGCACAAAGTTAACTGGAGATAAATGGAATAGCATGGAAAATGAATTTAAAACAGGATGTTCCTTGTTATGAGAGCTTGCAAGAGAGTCATTTTGTCAGGTGTTCATATATCTTAATGATAGTGACTGAACGGCAGCTGTTGATCTATTTCCAATTAAATGGTTGAAATCTGGAAATCGAGATAATGGAATAATTCTATAGGGTATAACACTAACTGATTTTCTCCCTACTGGGCAGTCGTTAATGCATTTCTAGGCCAGGGGCTGGAAACCTCTTGTGAGGAAGGGCTCCATTTAGATAAAGAAGCTGAAATGTTCCTAAGTTCCCATGAATCTTTGTGCCACTTTACACCTGAACTTCTGATGACTCAGATATTTGAATGTGTGTTCATCTTATCAATTCACAGCATTTTATTATTAAGGACTTTTAAAGGAAGCATGTTTCAACTCTTGTGTCCAGGACAGTTAATCTATTTGAATGACAACCTCATTTAGCAAAGAACTTTGTCCTGCTATTGAAGAAAAAGATGATACAAGGCTGTCAACTCAATTTCTTCATCTCACTGAACAATGCAGAAGATTAGGGAGAGCTCTATGGCATGCTCACCTTTCTCAGTTGAGGAAGGGCTGATTATCTTGCTCATCTTTGCATGTACCGTCCTTCCACTGATGTGGAGCTCATCCTGGTTCCTGCCTGGGGAAGTGAAGCTTGACATGCAGCACAAAATTAGAGGGGAAGTTCTTTTTTCAGAAGCAAAATTGTGTGTGTTTGGGGACTTTTTGCTCATACAAAAATAAAATAAAATAAAATCATGAGTTGTAGAAAGAAGAGAGAGTAAAACACTGCTTTCCAGCCAGGGTGTTGAAGCAGCCGAGGGAAACAGAGCAGGCATATTAGCACTTTTTGACTAGAGCATAGAAATGCCAGGTGTACTAGGCTAGCCCAAAGTCCTCCATGATTCAGGCAAGTGTGGGTAACCTCCAGCCAGATGCAGCTCACAAATGGCCCACAAGTGATAATACCAGAGATCGGATTTAACCATAGCTGAATTACAAATGCCTTGAGTGGTATCCAGCATGGCCCATTTAGTTTCCCTACTAATGCACTGCTAGCGTAAGCAGTTTCTACCAGTAAATCAGCTGGCATGATGGGTTTTCCTGGAAAACTTATCATACCAGCCTGGTCTGTTTATCAGTACATTACTAGTATAGGTGTTGGATACTGCACTGTAGCATTAAAGCTGCTGTAGAGGAGCTTATTCCCAAGTAGATATGCAGAGAATTGAAATATGCTTGTATGCTTGTTGGGGAAATGTGCAAACTGGCATGAATTATATCTGCCCTTGGCCCTGCCCCAGGCCCTTCCCCTCACCCACTGCTGGAACCCCCTCTGGGGTGCTTCTGCAACTGGAATTTGGCTTGCCACCCTTTCAATACGTGTTGGCCTAGCCACTATGCAAACTGTTCTACAGACTGTGACCTGCAGCTCTCTGCTATAGCTTAAGCCGCTGGAGTTCCAGAATGTGAAAGAAAATGAGGTCAGAGCATCTTGCAAAATTTCCCATAAATCATAACATGGAACTTGCCCTTACTGGGAGAAATGAGCACAACATCCTAGTACCAGTCTAGGGAAGAGTAAATAATATTGGTTATCTGACAGCATAAAGCATGGAATAAAGCACTGCAGAAGATTTGGAGAGTGAGGGTGGGAATAAACTAGTACGAGTGCATTTTTATCAGTACACAGGGTTGGTTAATCTGACAAAGACCCCCAAAATGTGTGTCCAATATTTCTGGACTGACCTTACCAATTAGATTAGTCACAAGAAACTCACCCACCTTCAATATCTGTTATTATTTATGTTATTCTGGTTTGATGCAAACCTACAGACACTTCCATTCCTACCTTTTCCTCTAGTATTGACACCATTTACTCACTTAGAACATGGTCTTCTGCATGTGTATCAGAAGCAAGTTCTTTCGGGTTTAGTGGGGCTTACTACCAGGTCAATGTGCATGGGGTTTTGCAGCCTTATTTGTTCCAGAGAACAAACCAATGTGCTCCTCTATTTTTACGATCACCCAATGTTTTTCTTCAGTTGTTGATTTTTCATGAATCCAAAACAAGAACAAATCTGCAATCACAGCCTAATCATTGCTAATGTTAATGTGTGTTAACATTACCAGCCAATCACTTGGACAAGTACGTCCTACCACCTGCTTACTGGACCCTTGTCCATCTTGGCTACTCAAGAAAACCAAGGACGGGATAGGGACCTGGATCCTGGAGGTTGTCAATGCCTCTCTAAGGGACGGCTGGGTACCTGCCCCTTTAAAGGAGGCGGTAGTCCGGCCAGTCCTAAAGAAGGCATCCCTGGATCCAGAGATGGCCGCCAATTATAGACCGGTGGCCAACTTCCCGTTCTAGGGCAAGGTGTTAGAGCGGGTGGTGGCAGGACAACTCCAAGCAATCCTGGATGAAACTGATTATCTGGACCCATTTCAGTCTGGCTTCAGACCCGGGTATGGTACTGAATCTGCCTTGGTCACCCTGTACGATGACCTGTGCAGGGAGAGAAACAGGGGGAGTTCGTCCCTGTTGGTTCTCCTGGACCTCTCAGCGGCTTTCGATACCATCGACCATGGTATCCTTCTAGATAGGCTAGCGGGACTGGGAGTTGGAGGCACTGCTCTGTGGTGGTTCCGCTCCTATCTCAATGGCTGATTCCAGAAGGTGGTGCTGGGGGACTATGGCTCTGCGCCATGGCAGTTATGCCATGGAGTTCCACAGGGGTCCATTTTGTTCCCCTTGCTATTCAACATCTACATGAAACTGCTGGGAGAGGTCATTAGGAGGTGTGGGCTGCGGAATCATCAGTACGCTGATGATACCCAGCTCTACCTCTCGTTCTCAACCAATCCAGGTGAGTCAGTGGCTATACTGAACCAGTGCCTGGCCGAGGTAATGGGCTGGATGAGGGCCAATAAACTGAAGCTCAATCCAGACAAGACGGAGCTCCTGTTGGTAGGTGGTTGGGGCTTCAGGGTGGGGGACCTGGACCTTGTCCTGAATGGGGTTGCACTCCCTCTTAGGGACAAGGTTTGCAGCTTGGGAGTGCTCCTCAACCCTGAGCTGTCATTAGAAGCTCAGGTGACGGCGGTGGCGAGGAGCGCTTTCCTTCAGCTTCGGCTGATCCATCAGCTGCGTCCCTACCTGGAGAAGGATTGCCTGGCGACAGTGACTCATGCACTGGTAATTTCCCGATTAGATTTCTGTAACACGCTCTACGTGGGACTACCCTTGAAGACGGTCTGGATACTTCAGTTGGTGCAAAACAGAGCTGCCAGGTTGCTGACGGGGACTGGGCGTTGTTCTCATATAACCCCAGTTCTCCGTCAGCTTCACTGGCTCCCCATTGAAGTCCGGGCCCAATTCAAGGTGTTGGTTATCACCTATAAAGCCCTTAACGGCTTGGGACCTGGTTATCTAAAGGAACGCTTGCGTCCATATATGCCCTCCCGCCCCTTGAGATCGGCAGCAGAGGCCCTTCTCCAGGAACCCTCCGTGAAAGATATTAGGAGGGTACCTGGAGGAGGGCCTTCTCTGTGGTGGCACCCCAACTATGGAATGCGCTCCCCAGAGAGGTCTACCTGGCGCCGTTGTTATTTGTTTTTCGGCGCCAGGCCAAGACCTTTTTATTTAAAAGTTATTTTAATTGTTAACTTATGAATTGTATTTATGGAATTTTTAGGTATATGCCGAGATGCTTCCGGTTTTTTAACTCTAATTGTACAAGTTGTTTATTTATGTTTATTTATTATTGCTGTAAGCTGCCCCGAGGCTTTTGCAAATGGGGCGGCATAAAAATGGTTTAAATAAATAAATAGTCCTTTCAGCCCACAGCTCATAATCCCATCACATCTACTATGGTGTTATCAAAAACTACATTCTTGTTGATAGTGCATGAGCCAACCTTTCAGGCTGAGCTGCTGGCCACTCCATCTCCACAAAACTTGCTTCTTAGCCACGATCATTCTACACCGTCCATGAGAGTTTCTTTAAATTGTGTCTATGCATACTAGTGTGTAGGCACACAGATTCTCGGCTCTTCAGTGAAGCAGCTTTACAAACAATGCCTGGAGCCCCTTCCAGAAGGTTAAACTTTCCTCAAAGCAGCTGTTTGGCAGGAAGTGGGGAGGGGGGGCAGGATGGACAGAATGCAGCACCCAGCAGCTGCTTAGAATTATTATTCCAGTGGTTCCTGAGAAGGCCAGACCAAACTGGCTGTATGGTAAGTGCTGTGAGGAAGAAAGGGAGGAGGCTATGAGGAGTGTGTTGAATACCTGAAATGTGTCCTTTGCTAAGGACTGTCCCAGGGGGCATAGCCTCTTTCATGCCAAGGGCTGCTTTCCGTGCTTGGAGGCAGCGTATTGAAAGGACACAGGGCCAAAGCGTGAGTCATTTTCTCGGCTGCAATGCAAACAACAACCAGAGTTAAAGTTTCTTTTCTTCTTTGCAACACCTGTCATTTGCAACAGCTGAGTGGCGTGGCCACAGTGCCTGCTTGAGCATCTGGCAGCCCAATGAATGGAGGCAAACAGTGGTGACAAAAGTGGGAGCAAATTTAGCAGTCATGGAATAAGAGAAGTCCTCTTATGGATCAATAATTAGTTAAAATCAGAAAGCAGAGAGTGAGGATAAATAGCAAATTCATCCAGTGAAGGAATGTGAGCACTAAGATCCTACATAGATCTTTCCCACTTGTTCATAAATGATCTGGAGTTAGGAATGAGCAGCGAAGAGGCCAAGTTTGCTGGGGATAACAAATTACTTAGCAGAAGTTTGTGAGTAGTTCCAAAAAATCTCTCTTAACTGCCAAAGGAGATCAAATTGGCAAATGCTGTTCATGTAAGCCAGTGGTTTTCAACCACTGGTCTGTGGGAGATTTCCTGCTGGGCCATCGGGGGCCCACATCCCACTCGCGAGACCAGCATGGCGGCTGGCTGTGCTCCGCCACCTCTTCCTCAGTTGGCATCACATTCATGGGGGTGTGCTGATGCCACTGGAAGGCCCAGGGACGGGAGAGATGGCTCGGTGGGAGCCGGGTGGGAGCCACACCACGCCAATTTTAGTATTTTGTTCTTTTGCTGGTATTTTTTGCTGCTGTTTCTGGTTGTTTTAGCGTTTTTTGGCCTTGTGTTTGGAAACTAATACACAGAATGCTGTATTGTGTGTGTGGTGCTTTCTGTTTCTGCCTCAATGGTCCCCGAGCTGGTTTCCCTGTTTTTATCAGTCCCCAGCTGTGGGAAGGTTGAAAACCACTGATGAAAGCAAGTATATAGTAACAAACACCAGGACAAACACAACCAACAGCCATCAAGGCTTAAGCTGGTTGGGATCTGAGGTAGTAGTGTCTGACCCAGAAAGAGAACTTGGGGTTGTGGTAGACAGCTAGCAGAAAATGTCAACCCCTTCTGCAGCAGCTGCAAAAAAAAATTAGGTGTAATTAGGAAAGTAATGAAAGTACAACTACCAAGATCTTGTTCCAGTTTACAGATCTATGTTGCAACCACAATTAAAACAGTGTACAGTAATCCCCTGAAATTTGCAGGGGTTACATTCCTAAAGCACCCACAAATTGTGAAAAACCATGAATTTGGTGCCAGTGATGGGCGCCGGCCGCCAAGGCAGTGCGGGTGGGGGGTGCGCGCACAGAGATTTTCTCTGAGTGAGTCCAAACTCTGAGGAAACAATCTCCTTGCAAGTAAGCTGCTGCACGGGGAGGTGCTGGCTTACTTGCAAGATTGGCTTGGACTCGCTCAGAGAAAAATCCTGTGAAAGACCGAAGCCGCGAACGCTGAACCACGACTTCACGGACGTATACTGTATAGGTTTGGAAAAAGAGCTGAAAGGGGCAATTGAAGCAACTCCCTTATGAGGAAAGTTTACAACAGCAGGGATTGTTTGGCTTAGTAAGGGGAGCCAACTTAAGGCATGGTGTGGAGCTAACAGATAAGGAGACATTTTTCTCCTCATCCTAATACGAGTACCTGGGGTCATCCCATGAAACTGATTGGTGAGACATTCAGAGTCTACACAAGGAAGTACTTCTTCAGACAGTGCTTAATAAAAGTATGGAATCTGTTGAAGATGTAGCAATGGCCAGCAACTGGGATGTCTCTAAATGAAGACAGGACAAATTAATGGAAGATGAGGCTATCAATCGCCTTATCCTGACAGCTGCCTCCAGCATCACAGCCAGCATGCTTCCGTGCACCAGTTTTTGGAGAACATAAGCAGGAGGGTGCTGTTGCATTCATGTTTTGACTTACCTCATGGGGTTGTTGTGAAGATAAAATGGAAAGCGGGTGGATTACGTAAGCTTCCTTAGGTTTCTTTTAGGAATAAAGGAGAATACAAGCAAGCAAACCAATAGATGTCCCACCTGTAGGTTTCCTGTGTGCAGCTGGTTTGCTGCTGAGCGAAAACATTCCGGTGTTAAAATCTAATCTAATCTAATGACGGATAGTAGATGGACCCTTGGTCTGATCCAGCAGTTTCTCTTACTTTCTTCTGGCTCCTGCACTCAAGAGGCCCCAGCAGCAAGAGCAGCTGCTCCACCACATTTGGTGGCTCATTGGTCATTTGCCGGGTTGCAGCAATGTTGGCAGTCACGGCAGAAGTCCTTTTAGCATCTTTTGACAGGCTACACAAAAACTCCTGAAGGCCACATGTGGCTCAGATTGGCCTTGTGTATTCCATGCATATTAAGATGTGAGGAGGGTACAAGCCATTCCCACCGCTGACATTACAAGTTGTTGAAGTATTTCAGATTGGTAAATTTCAGTAAATTCAGTGAAGTATTTCAGTAAATTCCAAGTTACTCAAAATTTACAGAACTGAGCATTGAATGAGACTTCACCACTTGAAAGCTCTTGGTAATTGTTCCCACTTACCCAGATCTTTATCAACACTATCTTTATGCGGAATTCATTATTCTGCTCTTGAGAAGACTGTTTGAATGACACAGATGAGATACGGGAGTCATGCTGCACAATACCAGGATGAGGTATTGCAGCTTTTTAACAGCAGCATCTTTTCATATATATTTTTGGAACAGGAAGTGACCAACTATTGATTTTAAACAGGAAGAAGAACAAAAACCTCAAAAGGAAATATTAAGGAAGCAGAATTCACCAAGTTGGATTTCATCCATAAAGCCAGAATTAGCAGTGATTCCATGGTGTTAAGGAAGAAATAAATCTGACAGTACACCACTAGGTTTTTAGGTTGTTTTGTTTTCATATATCATTTAAAAAAAAGTAACTTTGACAGATTCCTTTAACATTCAGATAAACAAGCAAGACAACAGCAAGTGGACATGATTTCTGAGAAGCACAGCCTAGGGGAGCAAGAAACGGGTAGTGGAAAAGAAGTGGCAACAGATCAGTCTCCTCAGTTGTATCAGCTGATTTCCTTTTCTAGCAAGGCCAAACTATTTGCTTTACCCAACAAGAGACAGCTTGAAGGATTATAGATCTCTGTATGTTCTCACTCTTGGACATTGGTTTTTTGCCCCCCGTAGCTGCAGTGGGCAATGGTGCAGCCCAGCTGGAGCTGGGTTACAGTTGGAGGTGCACAGTGCTTTAGGCTGGTCCATGTTGCATTTCAGACCCTAATGTTATCCCCAGCCTAGATTAAGCTCCATCTGTTCTGGAACCAGTGGAGTTGCTTTGCAGCTGCTTTTTAAAAATTTTATTTTAAAGGGCAAGAGTCAGCTGGCCAGTGGTCATCCCAGTCTTCCCTTCTCTCCTTTGCCACACCCCATTTGTTCTCTGTACCCAAGGCTGGCTTTGCCAGTGCTGCAGAGAAGTGATGGTTGAAGCGTTCAGGTGGTAATATTCACTGGCTGTAGGAAACATACAGCTTCACCACACAAATGCACACGAGAAAACGTTTATTAAAAAGTCAAGAGGTGACCAAAAAAAGGCAGAGAAATGGTTGTTAATACACACGCATAGGTTGCGGCATGCTCCATGGTACAAAAGAAACCCAGGCTTCCAGCCCAGTGTGGCCAGCAGCTCTGTCTGGCCTTCCTCTGCGGACTGCCTCGTAATTAGCCCTGTTTTGATTGGCACAGATCCCAACAGTGAAAGGGAACACAGTGTATCCCTTTTGGCTTACAGGAGAGTTGTCCATAATTTTTGCCTAGACACAACCTTACGAAAGCAAGCCTTTTGGGCAGAGACAGCCCAAAGCCCAACCTGACCCATGGTGGTTCTCTGAGGAACCACAATGCAGCCACAAACCTTGGTAAAGGTAACATACTGCATTTGGTTCGAAAACTCTGCAAGATAACCTAAGATTTCAAAACAAAAATGGCTCTGGTTCTTTGCTTTACAGAAGAATCAGTGTAAATCCTTCATTCTCTTCCCTTTCCACCTCATTTTAGGAATAAGTCTCTCTTAACACAAGCTTCTCATCTTTTACATGCTAGAGCCATATTGGAAGACATTCCTCATGCCGCCCATTCCTAAGTAGGCACTTTTAAAGCAGGCTTTCACAGCAGGTGTTGCCACTGGGGATGATTTATCTAGCAACTGATCAACCCGTCTTGATATTACGAAGCTGCCTGTGTTTCCCTCTTGGTGATCCCTTGATTCCTTGCAGTCTTGAAAAACAAAATGGGAAAATATCCTGCCATTATTGGCACTGAAAGAGGCCTTAAACCCAGTTTACAGGAACAGCACACATGTGTGCACTTTGCCAGAAAGGTAAAGAAATCCTACATGAAGGAAACGTGTCAATCTAGAAACAGTTTCACAGTGCAATCTGCTGTTTCTATAGACCAGTGCTATGTTTTCACCACCTGCTTTCAGAAACCTTTCTTCTCATAGGAGAACACTCCTCATCTGCTTGGTTTCTGCTTATATCAAAATGGTGCCATCGATGAATGTTCCTGGCCCTTGGAGCTCAGTTTCCTACTCAGGCTTCCTTTTTGAGGAAGGCAAAATTCACATCTTACTAATCACATAGGCAGGAGTACCTTTTGATTTTCCTTATAACTTTTCAGTTCTCCATGCTTAGCTCTTGCAGTACATACTACACACATGCAAATAAATGTTTGTTTTTATATGAAAAAATAAAATAAATAAAAAGCAGTCACCAGAGAGCAGAGGAGTAACAGAGGGTGCACACATAAATGTAGGCCTTTCTCAACTGCCTTTTTATTCAAAAAGTGTTTTACAGTTGCTCCCCGTATATGAAGTTTCAAATAACTTAAGCACTCATCATGCTAAGCACTCCTCTTCGATTTTCCCAAAAGCCACACCCTCTGGAAGCTGCTTTCAAAGTAAAAATATGACAAGACATGGTTACACAGACTCACGTGCAATGTACAGTTGTGCCTTGCTCCTAAGACAAGCTGTGGAAAAGGTGGACCATAGGCTTCTCCTTCTCCTGCATTAATGCAGTGTGGCCAAGAGACATCTGCACTGTATAGAAACAGCATCCTCTGCCTACAGCAAAACACGTTTCCTAAGAATGTGCTCAACTTATCTTCCATTCTTGGAGGACAGAGCTGTGACTCTTCCAAACAGAGCTTGGGCTGCTTACACACATCAGCTGAATGCGGAACAATATCAAACATACGGCATAGGAAAAACAAAACACAAGATGTCTGGTGGTGCATAATATACATTTCTCAAAGACGCTCGACAAAAGGCAGTGAGTTACACATATCCATTCTGTACGCTGGTAACCCCAATGTGCATATATGTCTGTGTGTGTATGTAAATAAATGGACATGCACAGTTGATACCTACAAATTGTACATACAGCATATTATACTGGAACATGTGACTCTAAAGCCTCTGAAGGGTGGATAGGTTGGTAGAATCAATTTCTGTTTCCAGTGCATGCAAAGCTTGACATTCGGGCAGTGTTGCTTTAAGGCTATTTCTAAGGCTAAAAGAGGTCTTCCCAATTCCCATGAACAACATCCTGCAAGACTCTGAGACATTGCTTCCTTAGGACACTATGAGCAGAGTTTGATTTGGAGTAGCTTTTTAAAGAATGTTGAGATAGTGGGAGCTAGCCATGCCAGAAAGGGAAAAGGAGAGAGGAGAAACCCCCACTCAGTATTTTCTGCTGTGCCTCAGTCTATGCGTATCTTTGCAGTGAGCCTCTAAAAGTGCTCTACTTGCTATATTTAGAAGAGGAAATGAAGCTATTGCAGGGGTCTTCATTACTAGTGCAGTTCTTCTAAATGTGCTTTAAAAGCATTCTAGCCAGTGCTGGAAGATTATATCTGCACCCCTGTTTGAGTCTCTCACTTCTGTTTATGTTGTCCCCATGCTCATCGAAAAGGCACAGAGTCCATAGGGAGAATACAGCAGGGGAAAACCAAGATTAAAAATTATTTCTGCCTGAAGAGCATGTAAACTTGAACTACTAAGTGGTATGAGAGGATAAGACGCATCTGTGCTAAATAAGCCTGCACTGCTGTTCTTTAAAAGTCCCTTTGACCATGCCCATGTTAGAGTAAGGAAGGGCTTTGTGGAACCTGGGTAGCAAACAGGACCTCTTGCACCCACTGAACTCTTGTTCAAGTTGCAGAGATCAATAGGCTATTTTTATTGGGCGGGCGAATAGTCTAATATTACAAACTAGGTCAAGCGGGGAAGGGGGTATCAACATGGCTTAGCTTAGGAAGCACATGGGTCTCTTACTATATGTGGAATTGTATTGTTGATCTGCTGATGGAACTGCTTCTGTCAGTGGAAGTGGGATATGGACAATTCCCCCTCCCCTTTCAGACCCTATACTCTGTTAAAATCTGCTTTGGAAGGTTGTGGCAGAGAATTTGGGGCAGTGTGGGGGACTGCAGAGGAGAGGCGAGTAGGCTGAAGTCCTGCCATATAAGCAACCTTCCAACTGTGCAGTCTTGGATTCCATGCTTTTTACTTCTGGTGCATAGAGCGAACTTGTTCTAAACTCTGTTTGCAAAGACATACTCATATACATCCAGTTAGCTATTATCCAGCCCTAGTATTCCAGGTTTTATAAAGGCACAAGAATATATGCCTCCATTAAAATTAGGGATTTTTTAAAGAAACCGGTATCCAACAATTTCCTTCAACAGATACTTTCTTGCATCATTAGAATTCTATGCATTTACCAAGTAATTGCCATCAGAGAGTACCTGCATTCAGCACTAATTACGTAAGTACAAAGGTGGGAGTTCACTTTAAGCAGTGACATATAAAACGTGCTGCCATTCCACAATCAGCCTATTTAGTTTTCTTTTTTATCTAAAAATCCTCCCTGTTTTGGAATTCCAAAGATTTAACTTTGACTTACACTGATGTTGTCACACCAGGAGACATAATGGACTGCCATGCAAATTGATGAAAGAAGTCTCCTCATTGAAAGGGGTGGAGAATGTTGTGAAAAGCACTGTCACATGTGTGGTTAATAACAAACTGGAAGTAGCAATGCACTCTTGCAGTCTTATACAGATTTAGACCAAGAATCCTTATAAACCAGGGATGGGCACCTTGTGAGCCTCCAGATGGTTTGGCCCACAATTCCCATGATCCCTCATCATGGACTCTGATGGCTAGAGCTGAAGGAAATTGTAGGCCTATCTCTGGAAAGTCATACATTGCCCACAGTTTAGAATCCAAGGAAGATAATGTTAGAACAAGAAATGCTAGGATTAGGAGTCAAAAGGACTATTTCAGTTTACCCACCTCTTCCCCAGTAAACACTACTGGGGAATAAAAGTGAAAAAAAAATCAGTTCCTGATAAAAGAATGGCACCTTTGTAAACTTTCTTTAATTTCATGTGGGCACCACAGGAACAATGGAGAGGGGGAGAAACAAAAGAAAAAGGCTATCTTTAATAAAGGCCTGGAACCACTGGTATGATAGCTTTTCTACCACACAAACCAATTCGTAACTAATTCATCCACAATTATACAGAAAACTCCCCCCTCCCCTCCCCCACCATTAAACAAACAAAAAGACTTCCAAGTAAGAATGATAAGTACTGTATGGTAATATCTGAAATATTTATATACATATTTTTCTTTGTCTTCTGTTGGAAGTGTCTCCTGGTCAGACAGCGGCACTTTGGGGTCCCTTCGGCACCATTGCTTCGCTTCTGCCCTTCCACTTCTCAATAGACGGAGCTGTTCCTGATGCCACAACAGAGCACCATGCTCAAAATCATTTCCAAGATCTATGGGCCAGCAGGAAACACAGAAACAGAGTTCGATCCTTGAAGACTGGGGCTAAATCTTGCCTTCTGGGGATCTCCAGGAACACTGCCCTCCCCACTTCTCCCACTCAGCTGATGGGTTCTTGGCTTTTGGGCAGTAGCCTCCCATTCTAAAAAGCTGGAATATCTCTCATGTGGCTGAGCTACTCCTGGCTCCTTACTAGCATTAAGAGATTTAAGCTTAAATGTGGTGGCATTTTTGGAGTTTCTTGCCCTACCTTGTTTTGCCTCTGGCCACACCTGCCTGTAGATTTTCTGAAGTCCATCACTGAAGTGTGATTTGGTTCACTCATAAAGCTTCTGTGCCCACACTCGAGGCACTGTAATTGCAGGCATGCCCATCTTGCTCTTGTACAAACTACCAAGAAACTGAGGGCCAAATTGGTTGTACCAATGTTACAGATAGGCTTTTATTTCAGGTCGTTTTCTTTGGCAGTGCCACGTGTTTCCCCAAGGTAAAAACACGCAGTATGCATTTTAAGAGTTTCAAAGAGCAAACAGCACAAACCAAAACATACATGTTTCTGAGGAACTGCCACTGCTGCAGTTCAGTCTTCCTCTGAATGTCTTCCAGTTTTTCTCACAGTGAATGATGCAAGGTTGGCAAATGCATTTCAACCATATTATAATTGAAATTAATGCATTAATTCTACTGGAAATGAAACGCTGCCAAGCCTAGTTGCAGTGGGATAATGCTGACAAAAGAGTTAAGACAAGTGAACCACCGTAAAGAGGATCTGAATAGTGAAATGATTTTTCATCTTCTCTGGGAATGCAGAGAGGCTCTGGCATGGAGAGTGTTGAGGTGCACATCTAGAAGCCTTCCCTTTCCTTCCTTGCTGTGGGGAGTGAAGCAGGCAGGAGGCCAGGCAGGAGGAAAGGCAGTTCTTGCATAGAGGAATGGCCAGGGATCCTTACAAATAAGTGGACTGAATTTCATCTTAGAATTTATCAATATTTGCAAAAGTCTTCGTATTTTCAATGGAAGGAACTTGAAATTAAGATATAAAGGCAAAAACCTCGAGTGTGGGAGAAGTGGAAACTGAGTCATCCAGGCTCAGGACTTGAGGGATTTTCTAAAGGTCTGGGGGTGAATCCTGGTGCAGTCAACCATGCTAGTGCTGAATTAGGGTTCCCACTTAACTTCTCTTGTGACAGGCTCTTCATCTTTAACAATTATATGGCTGGCTATTACAACACAGTCCTCTCTGTGCTGAGAAGAGCTGTGCTGATTGCATTTGGCTGGTGCCGACGAGTCAGAATTTAGTCTCCATCCATTTGCAATAAAGGCTTTACTAAAATTCACTACTGTTTTCATACGTGGGACCAACAGCACTTGAGTTTTTAACAACTGAAAGGCAGGAGAAAGCAAAGTGGACAGGTGTGTCTATGCCTGCCTGCAGCTTCTCCTTGCTCCACAATGAGAGAATAAGGAAACGTTGGGGGCAGTAAATGGAGAAGTGGCTTCCTTCTCTTTAATCCCATATACAATTCAAAGTGCTGGGAAAATCTGTTTAGACTGCCCTGTATTTATTTATTATGCTATTTATATTCCATCATTTTCATCTAGCAAGGAACCCAAGGTGGCTTACACAGTCTCCCTTCTTTCCATGTTATCCTCACAACAACCCTGGAGGGTTGGTTAGACTGGGAGTCAGTGCCTGGTCCAAAGTCACCTAGTGCGCTTTCACAGGATTAGAACCTGGATTTCCCAAGTCCCAGTCCAGTACTCTAACCAGTACACCACAGTGGCTCTCAAAGGTTTCCAAGCCACACCTTGATGTGCACTTGCCTGCTTCCCCAGCCCAATGGAGGCCAAGCTACATTAAAGCAGCATGTGCCTGGAACAGCACCCTTTCCACCTTTTCTCCTTCCTGCACCATAATTTTGGACCCTGAAGTCCATCAATATACGGCACATCTCTACCATAGGGACAGCAAACACCTCACATCCCACCGTGCGCTTAGCCACACTTACCATGATCACAGCCACCACGATGGCAGCAATGCCAATCAGGTACAACTTTCCAGAGAATAGCTCATCAATTTTGTGGTGACAGTTTATGTCCTGTTAAAGAAAGAAAGAAAGAAAGAAAGAAAGAAAGAAAGAAAGAAAGAAAGTCCATAAAGGTAAATATGTATTTATTTATTTAAAGTTTTTATATGCCGTCCCCTTGCTACATAGCCTTGGGATGGCTCACAGAATATCCTACATATAGTTGCATCATTTTCCCTTCATAGGTGTTAGGCCTGAGAAAGAGTGAAGTTAGAGCAAAACCCAATCAAGCTATTCTCCTTGTTAGAATTAAGATGTCTCAATTCCACTTTGGCAAGAAAATAGCAATCTTCTCCTGCTCCTCTTTGTGCAAAAACTACATATTAAACAGCCTCCTGAACATATTTACCTTTACCTCTTTTTGCTCTGCTCAACAGCACAGCAAGCAATTCATGGACCTCAGGATGATCAGAAGATGAAATGGCATGCTATACGTAATATACAGTTAAGCTCTGGGATAGTCCACATGTGGTGCTCAGTTTGCTGTTCTGTGTCCTAAGGCTCAAATTCTTAGATTGGAAAAATGGAAAATAAACCTCAGAAAAGTTCAAAGAGTTTTTCCTTCATACTCAGCAGTTTGCTGGGTACTGATATTTAAGATATAAAAGGGAGCACGGTGCCTTGCCAAACAGCTAACTGGTAACTCCCACCCTGGGGAAGACTGGATACTTCTAAATAATAACCCCATTTCTGGATTTACACTGGTTCCTGGATGAAGCCAGAGGCTCCTCACACATCTGCCCAACCACAGCTGTGAAATGGTATACCATTCAGCTCTTGCAAAGCCAGTGAACTGATGTTGGGCTGGGGAGGAAACCTATGCATTGAAGACAAGGGTTGCATTATATGGATGTTTCCTTACGTTTGAAAATGATGGAATCAATTTTCCTTCAGAAGGGCAGAAATCATATGTTGCTATGTTGATTAAAGCTTCCACAGTACGTGCACCGCAGCATTTTAGCTGTAAGCAGAGAAAAGGGAGAGAGAAATTGATGACAGATATTCATCTCTAAAAGTTTCAACTAGTATGTTTTCCATGAATCCATGAACACCTTCTACATGTAGATTCTGATACCTAAATCATCCCCTCATCTCAGCATTGGACTGGATACCAGAATTCCAACACAGTCCCCAAGCCGAAGAAAGTCCTGGATGGGAAGTCTTGAAAGGTTCTGAGCGCTGAGTGGAAAGTAGCAAATTCATACCAGAAGAGGTCGAGGTTTTACAGGGGTACTATAAAGAACCACAGACACTGGTTTTCCTTTTTTGTCTTATTTCTAATATAGCACATGGCCATGTCATGGGTGCAGCTCAGTGAAAAGCAGCAATGCATTTGGTATATGGATCACATTTCCTGCTACTCTTGCTCCTATTCCCTGTAATCTTTGGGGGAGAATTCTGAAGATGTGAAACCAGCTTAGATGCACTGCATGGTCCCTCTCTCCTTGGGATTTATTTGCTACTTAAAAATAACAGTCTTTAATGCACCCTGGGCTGTTTCCATACAGATGGCCTGGCGTACTACCCAATACCTGTTCTTCTATTGTAAGCTACACAAAGAATTGCAGTTGACCTTCCGTTTTCTTGGGAGTCTTGTCCTTTTTCTGTGTGTGCCTCCTGTTCTGTAGGATGGCACGGGTGCTGTGGGTGGGGCCATGTGAAGCTTGGAGAAAGCTTCAGTAAAGCCAGAAAAAGAAGTTTTATTGTTAATTAAAAGATTGACTGAAGAACAAGAAATCAGTCCAAGACTGATTAAAAATAAACAAATGGAGCCACAAAAAGCTGGACACCCTATTTAAAAAAATACCAAATATGACAGATTTAGGTAAAAAGTAGAACAAACCAATCCCACTGCATCGTTTCCCCCTGAAGGAGAGGGGCTAAAGAGGGGACCCTCCTTGCTGGTGTAGGTTTGGAGGCAGTATGTATACAGCAAGCCCACCATGCTTGCCCTTTCCTGGGGGGGGGGGGGGGGATGCTCTGTTAGATGCACTGTTAGAGGTGTTGGGTGGGAGCAAGCCCAGAGGGTCCCTTCCTTTCACTGTGGGGACATGGCAATTGATGAGGGTTCCTCCCTGTGCATGTGCATAGGGGATGGTGGCTGCAGGGCATTCTCAGTGGTCAGTAGAAAAGAGCTTTCTCTCCTTGTGTGTGTGGTTTTGAAGGAGGCGGGCACAGAGCAAGCTTAGCACAGGTCATCATTTCCCCATGGAGGGGCGGATGAAAGAAAAGCAAGGTTTGCTTGGGTGTATGTCACTGGGAGTGCAGAGGGAGGCTGACACATCTCAGCCCACCCCTGTGGAAAAGGAGATCCTCCTTCCTTCATCTGGTGATGGGCAGATGGAAGCAACGGGCAAAGCAAGCCCACTCCGCCATTTCTCACATGTGTGTGCGCACGTGTGGGAGGCGTTGGAGCACCTTGCCTTGCCCACCTGCTTATGCACAGTGGCAGAGTGAGTCCCTGACAGCCATTCCTTGAGACAGACCCTCAATGAAAAAATAGCCTGTACAAATTCTCCAAGAACGGGGTGGAAGGAAGCAGGCAGATAATTAGAAATCAGCGCTTGAAGGTTTCCCAATTTTATAAGCATGTGCAATAGGGAAAGGAGAAGAATTTCTTAAGAGGGGATTTGGGGAAACTAGCCTGCCTTTTGGTATGCGCTTTTTGAAAAGCAGAGAACTACGGATTTTAAAGCATGTACTGGGTTGCTCTGTGGATACTCCAGGCACTTGCTGAAACAGAGGAATGGCAACAGTGGGAACAGAACTTTCTTGTTTCAAGAAAGTTATGCTTTATTTGCTGCAGAGGGCACTGCATGGCTTACCGTTTCATGAAAGGTTTTCACAACTGCTCTTGCCTTGTTGGATTTGCTCTCATCTTTTACTTTTGCTTGGTCCAATGCCTGGTCATAGAATTGTTTGACATCACCTGCAATCTACAAATGAGACAGACAGAGACATTACAGTTGCCAGGAAAAACAACCCAATATGCTTCCTCATGTTTTTAGTGAAAGTAGATAGGTATATTAAAGCGTGCTGAAATCCTTAACTGAGCTGAGACAATTTTTTGTTGAAAGTTAAAGCAAACTAATCTGAAATAGACTCTTCCAAGTAACAGTCTCAGAAGACTTAACCAGAAACACACCTGTTGAAAGTGCATGTGACCGTAACTCATCATCTTGGTGTTTAGAAAATGCTAAGACCAGAATGATTTTGCTAAGAGAGTGGGGCTGGAACAACAGATTTCTGGTCAACTTGTGTTTCCAAATGTCCTGCTGCTGCTTTTCTGCTGGTGCAAAGAAGCAGCAGTTTGCACAAAAGAGAGAGATGCTCAGAGAAGGCGGTCTGTTGACCAGTGAGGCAACAAATTATCCCCTCATAAAAGGAAGATCCAGCTGGAGGGCACCCCCAGACTGGTTCACCAGCTTTTGCTGGTACTCTAGCTGTGTCCCATCCTGGAAGACAAGTACTTTGTCCTGTTGCACACATTCTGGTAACCGCTTGAGTTAGCCACTGTAATAAATTTAGTGTGGCAATGCCCCTGAATATCATTTAGAAGCATCCAATTCTTGCCTGTTCTGAAACACAGCCTGTACCTTAAGTTGGCCACATGGAGCACATCACACAAGTACTTCCTTCTCAACAAGTTATTAGCTAACTTCAAAATGCCACATATAAACCCTGAGTCTGGGATATAAGGAGGAATGCCTTCTCTGGGATATAAGGAAGAATGTCTTCTTCCTTTTGTACTTCCCTGAGATCTGGCAATGAGATCATTTTTGTGGGTGTTATCACCATAAAAAGTGAGAAAAGGCTTAGAGAAGGGAAATGTCTGCCCTGCTGTCTAACTGATTTGATCACACATATCTTACACATGAAGGCCCCAAGGAGCAGGCAAGGCCTGTGTGCTTCTGTGAGGTTCCTCCTGTGCAATGGCACTGATTCATTTATGGCATTTTATAGAGGAAGGGTGTGTCCATATGAGGCAATCGTCAATCTGTAGCTCTTTTGTGGTTTCCCACTGCTGCTTCTGACTATTTTTTTCTTACCAACAACCATGTGTTATGGAGAAAAAGGCAGAAGAGCTACACTATGACGTGTGTGTGTTAGCGTGAGGAGTTCTCCACTGAATCTCCAGTCAGGGGTTAAATGGAAAAGCCAAGTATTAAATAAAGAATCATGTATGTTACAAGCCAAAACACCAAAACCATGTTATTATAGTCAACGGAACTGAGCAGAGCAAATGGGTTGTAATTTGAAACTCTTTAAGGGAAATGCATTCTATGTTGTTACTTCTGTCAAAACATCACCAAAAACACAATTATATTTGATAATTGGCAGTCTGGGCCAGCTGTTTGTTACCACAGTGAGGGGACTTTGCCCTTCCCATTCCCATTTAATTTACCCCCTGGGAAGTGAGAAATTGAGAAACATCATGTCAGATTTCATTTTTAAAAGTATGAATGGGAAGCTTTTTTATTAGAGGATAATTTGTCCTGGGGGAAGACTGTTAAGAACTACAAAATGCCCCTATTCCATTTCTTCAGTGCCATCTGGAACTGACTAGTGGATAAAACACCAGTAATAGAATTTCCTCCCATGGTGTACCACATATGCAAGTGCTCAGATGACACCAGCACTAATGCAAGGGAGCGGCCATTTGGTACAGAAGAATGGGCATGTGGCATTCAAATTCGTGTCATGCACCAGGACTGTGTGGTGCTGGTGCGTTGCTCTTTCCTGTGAAATCAAAACTTCCAGTTGGTGGACGAATACAAACTGGAGAGATAAATTAGGATAACTCCACTGAAATGACATCGCCATCTTGTCCTCCCTGCAGTGGGTGTGAGGGAAGAAGGCTTTCTCAAAGCAAGGTGGGGGGTGGGGGAGGAATGGCACTACTAGCCACCTTCTGAATTAAGATTTTACCACAGCCTCAAACTGAAGGGAGAAAATGTGATGTGCCTGTGATTCAATGAATCACTGTTGCTGTCACCTATTTCCTTAGTGTCTGTATCTGTGGGATTGCTCGGGAGGATAACATATAAGTCTACTGTGACCCCTGCTTGTGGACAAAATGATATAAAAACAACATAGTGAAATTGGAAAAGGTAATCTCAGAGGTCCAAGATTGCTTTGAATGTGTGTAGGAGAACCACTCACAGTTTCTGAAGCACAGAAGGCAAGGAACAGAGAATTCGCCATGTCACTGGCAGCCTCTCTCAAAACTGAATTGCTCTCACAAATCCAAATAAACCCAATGTCCTTTCTTTCTAGGTATTCATTGTCATAATGTTTACTAATGCCCCTTCTGTTGCCTAACTCTTTCTTTCTGCAAGGGCATTTATTTAACTGCAGCCAAAGCCTTTTGGGAATCTACTTTATAAGGCAGCTAAATCAGCCTTGTATTTATACATTTTTCTGGCTCTTCTTCATTGCACATCATCATTATCTCTTTCAAGTCTAGACATTATATCAACCTCCTCATGGGTATTTTTTCCATATCCCAGAATTCCGTGTTAATGATTCCCAAGGAAACTGCATTGTTTCTTTTAACCAAAACATTATGTTTACCTTCAAGGATTTATTTTACAAAATAAAACAAACAAATCTCCAAGTTTCTAGCCTTCAGGTACACAGGTATTTGTTTCACAAAATGATATGTACACATACTAGAAGAAAATATACAGGGATGTCATTGCTGAGAAAAGGAACACTCCCCTGGCCCCAGTATTCCACTATGATCTCAGATCAAACAGTTTTTGATGATTATAAAAGTATATGAACCCTGTTTGCCGAGAGACCAGAACAGGATGGAAAAATGAGTGTGTTCGCCTACAAGCTGCAACAATATCCTACTAGCTTCAAGGCATCAGAAAAATACTGGAACAGGTACTGGAAACCTTGATTCCATAGGCCATTGCCTGCCTATGTATCTATCTCAATCTTATCCTCACAACAACAACCCTGTGAGGTAGGTTGGGCTGAGAGTCTGTGACTGGCCCAGAGTCACCCAACTGGCTTCATGGCTGGGTGGAGACTAGAACCCAGATTGCTTGAGTCCCAGTCCTGCGCTCTTAACCACTGCAGGCATTGCCCTTCAGAGCGGGTGCTTCTATCTGGTCCATCAGCTTCTTCCTCAAAGCATACCCAATCCCCGCAGGGGGAAAAAACTCTTAGATCAAATATCTGTGATTCACTAAAGACAGCTGCTGCCTTGGGATCAAGTGTCTGCAACCCAGTCCCTGACTCTAATCTGAACTGTATGGCTGAGTCTGTGCACAGTGTGTGAGTGTGCGAGATCCTGCCTCTTCCTTCTAGCATATCTGCCTACTATTCAACAGCAGCCTCACAGCAATGCCTGGCAGGGAGAAGTTTAGCCTGAAGCCCTTCAGATTGGCTATTTCACACACTGGAATGAGAAATAAACAAAAGAATACAAAGTCACAGCAGCAGTGCCTTGTCTTTTATTATTGTTTCATTTGGCATTCAGCCTAACCTACCTACCCAGGGATTTTGTGAGGGGAAAATAAAGTCATTTTGTTGTCTTAATAGGCTTTGACCTATGAAACTAATGCCACAATAAACATATTATCCTTAAAGCATGGGACTGTCAGCTGTGTTGTAAACCTCAAGTTCTAGCTAAATATACATAATAAATAGTCAGAATAAGCTCCTTACCTGATCTTTATTAACGAACCCCCAGATTCCTGCAGCCACTTCACAAGCAAACAAGATTACCAGGCATGTGAAAAACTATGGATAGAACACAGATAAAGTAAGAAAGGTGGCAGAACTACCAGAAAATGAAGAGGGACTTCAGTCTAAGGGTGCATGTACACTGGAAGATAAACAACATCACAGTAAAGGGTCTATGTGATATCAGGAATGGAGATCCAACAGTACTTTTCAGACAAAAGCTGCATCTTTCCAAAAACACAGACCCACGTGGACTACACCTTGCTACAACACTCGATAGATGGGGGCAGATTCTGTTTCTTGGGCCTCCATTCGAGGCTGCTGTCAGTATGCACAATGAGCATGAAGACTGCAGTAAGTAGGGGGAAAAAAAGCATCTTGCAGATAGGTCAGGACCCCAGAAGGCAGCACCTATTTCTGCTACTCAGCCCTTGCTGAAGAGCCATGAAGAAAGGCCATGTGCCAAAGACACACACCTCACCCATTCATTCTCCTCCTCTAAAATCTTAAGCCATACACAAATGCATTTTTGAAACAGACTGCAAAATATTGTGGCTTTCCAAAATGTCCTCATTCACTTGTTTCCAGTGCTCAAGGTTGCAGCACAAAGAACTGCTACTGAACACCTGCTAAAGCACCTACTTGAAATTTTATATACAGAATAGAAAAATGACACAGTCCCTTCCCATGCACTTGCAAAAAGAGGGAAAAGCGGGACTGACATGCTTTTCTAGTAGCTGTGGTATAAGGGAGACCCAGGAATGATTAATCTTCCAATTCAATTTGTAATCTTGGTGTGACATTCCCTCCAGTCTCTCATCAAAGGAAATATTCAATCTGCATGTTGGGGCAGGAGCTAGAATTACCAGGCAGAATAAGGAATGGTGGCAGTTTAGCTGTTCACCTCTTCAGTAAAACAACAGAGGGAGGGAATGGCACAAATTATTTCAACAAATTGTTGGAGAATGCTTTGATAAGCCCAACACATTCTGTTTCAAAGCAAAAGAAGTCTCAGTAAGATTTTTCAAAATATATCTGGAGAAAGACAAATGGCCCCCAAGGAAGGAAACATTTTTCCCCCAAAAAGCACTGGGATTATTAAAACATTTCCAGGCATTTGAGAGTATCTCTTCTCTTGCTTTCTGACACCTCTTTAACAGCAAATATTCAAGGTAACATTGCACTCCCCCACGGGCAGGTTGGCAGCAATGGAAGGCAAAAAAAAAAAAAATAAGGCAGAGGGATGAGGCATGAACAGAAGTTCTGTTCAAGGTCACAAAAGGCAACTGTTAATTTATTAACCTGAGTCACTGCTTTCCAGCACTATCAGTAAAAGAGAAATACAACTGGGAGAAAGCAACATCTAGATCAGCCTTTCTCCAACCTGATGCCCTTCAGATATGCTGAACTGCATCTCCCATCAGTCTCAGCCAATGGTCATGCTGGCTGCAGTTCATACATCTCGAGGTCATAGGGTGGAAAACAGTGATATAAACTATGTACCACAGCTGTAAAACTGTATGTTTTTGATCCTAAAAGGTTCCCAATGACAGAGGAAGAACTAGAAAACAGAAAGGAGCATTAGGATTAGCTTTGCTGAAGAAGTGGTCCTTGAAGAGTGACCTCAGTGGGGCAGAGGGAGGTGGGTGGCCTGATGATGAAAGAAAAAAATAGGTAGGGATATAAAGGGTTTTATGACATAGCAGCACCTAGGCCACTCTGCCTCAAAGGACCACTGTCTTTGAACAGAGAGGGTGAAACTACTCCAGGTCTCTGAAGCATCACAGCAGAATGCACAGGGATGTGAAAGCTTAAAGCAGGTAGAGGGGAGGGACTGTGTTGGCTGGTCTTGCCCACCGAGCCACATGCACATCAGCCCCTACCTCCTCTGTCGCCAACCTTTCCACACTGAGCACAGAGATCTGAAGAGGGTCTCTGCTCATATTTGTGCACAGGTAGAACTCTGTGTGATGGGAAATCTGCTTCACCAGGATTAACAGATGTAAGCAGAGCACTCCTTCAGATCTTGCCACTGCAAGGTTGGGGCCAGATGGACAGGGGGCTGAAGCGTACAGGAAGTAAGGCACTGGGCCAGATGAAGACCTCATGCATTCCAATGAATACCCAAGCAAGGCTTCATGGTGGCTGTAGTCCAAGTTTTGCAGTTTTACAGAACACAGTTTCTTCTTTGGAGGGGAAAAAAATCTGGCAACCCCTGAGTGAATGGATCAAGCCAGCCTTCCATTTTCTTCTGTAACCTTATTACACAGTCTAAGTCTAGATTACTTAGTTCAGCAGAAAATAACCAATCCCCAGATTCTGTAAAGACATTCAGAAAAGTAAGAATCTCATCTAAGGATAAAGCACCAGCTACTACAACTTATACATACCTGGGTACTCATAAATATGGAAACGGTGCCACTGTGTTTATCACTATACATCATAGACCATTTTAGTATAAAGTGGGACCAAATACGTCCCATTTTACACTGCATGTTCTCCAGTTTTCTCCTCTCTCCCCATCCTTCGCTGACATGAATTACTAGCTAAGGAGGACCAAAACTTCTCTTGAGTTGCAAGAATACCTGCCCATTCAAGGACCATGTGTTCTGTGTGAACATTAAGCTTTTCTGATCTATGAAGTTCGTAAAGAGAAAGCTTGGAACATTTTAACAAGAAAGGGAAAACAGATTTCTTACTGTTCCAAGAAGGCACTGTGACTCCTGGATAGCACCATAGCATCCCAGGAAACCCACAAACATCATCACTGCTCCAACAGCAATCAGGATGTAGATTCCTGCAGGGAGGGACAAAAGGCAGGTTGATCAGAGATATCTTGTAATTAATTTTAGAGGCTTAAATTCTTGTGAAAGGTAAATTATACCACTGTTTCGCCAATGCCTATTAACAGGGAAAGCATACATATACAGTGGTACCTTGGCTCACGAACTTAATCCTTCCCAGGACCCTGGTCGTTACCCAAATTAGTTGACAGCCAAGTTAAATTTCCCCATAAGATTCAATGCAAATAGGGTTAATCATTTTTCTTTTAATCAGAAAAATGTGAAGCAAAGTGACAACAACAAAGATCCCGGCCATCTCTCCCTCCCCACCCTGAGCAAAAGTGCAGCCATCTCCCTGCCCCCCCAGCATGACCGAGATCGTGCCCGTTGTCCTTGCACGTGCCTGTCATCCTGGCGTGCTGGGGCGGGGGGAGACAGGCATGAATGGGGTGTGCTGGGGGAGGGAGAGACAGGCGTGATCTTGGCCATCTCCCCGCCCCTCCGCCCCCAGCATGATCGTGGTCATCTCCCCATTCAGTGGGGTGGGGAGATGGCCGCGATCATGCTGGTTGGCGGGGGGGGGGGGGGAGGAGATGGCCAAGATTGAGCCCATCTTTCCTGCAGGAGCATGTCCGTGATCACGCATGTCTTCCCTGCACGAACACAACTGCGATCATGGTCATCTCCCTACTCGGGGGGGGGGGGGTGGGGGGGGATGGCTGTGATCTTGGTCACCACCCAATGCGGAGTTCGCAACCCACGTTGAAATTTTCATGAAATTTTTGTTCGCAACCCAATTTGGTTGTGAACCAAGGCATTAATGTGCCGAGGTACCACTGCAATTAAATGTAAATAGGAAACCTGCCAGGTTAGGCAAAAGGTCTATGGTTCTTCTTAGTTATAACTGCTAACATATCTATTCTTTATAAATTTGCCAAATCCCCTCTTAATGGCACCTAAGCTAGTGAGAGTGAATTCTGTAATTCAATTTTCAACTGAATTGGGTGGAAGACACTCTACCTTAAAAACAATCCATGACATTCATTAAGTAGATTATAAAACAAGATACTTTAAGACAATCGTAAACCTAACCAGAGTTGCTGCTTTGACTGGGAAGTATTTACCAAATGCTTCTCTTTCTAGTCACTATAAATAGTCCAAATGAACATGTACAGCAATGGACATAGTGAAATGGACCTAAAATATTAAGATAGTTGGGATGCTGGGCACCTGCAACATCCTTGTATGATCAGAGGTAGGCACATCAGGTGTTTGCATCTGATGGCAGGATTAAGAGGTACAAATTGCAGAAGCTGCACTTATATTTCTCTAATAGTTTTGCAATGTTGTTCTTCCAGTACAGATTAGGAGCAACTTGCATGAGCTTATTTCTTTTACTGCAGTCTCCTCTGCTCTGGTGTCTTCTCATTGTTCTTACTTATGTCAAATATTTTAAGACAGGAATTGGAAACCTGTGGTCCTCCATCTGCTTTTGGACACTGATTCTCATGAATCTCAGTCATCCTGGAAAATGAGTAAGGATGATGTAGACCAGCAGCATCTGAAAAGCCCCTGGTTCTCCACTCTTGTTCTAAAATGTATGTTGGTTAATTTTGTCCATTTCTAGAACTGAAGATCCTACCCAGAAATGGAATGAACCAGGGGTAAGCAATCGGTGCCCTCCAGATGTTTAGACTACAATTCCATAAGCCCTAGCCAGCATGAACAATGGTTAAAAATCATAGGAACTATGGCCACAAACATCCAGACTGTCCAAACTTAGTCTATCCAGATCATCTCCAGCCTAGCTATGCCATGCCATTCTACCCATAGTCACAGTTGGGCAATGCCCTTATTATAAAACTAGCAGATGTAGCAGGTATTATATTAGACCTAGCAATGAATTCTTGAAGAATAGCTGTTCTCCGGTTCTCAAAACGTAAAGGCTGGGTATCAACACAGATCCACCTCTTATCTTGGACAATTCACAGTTTCCTATGAATTCTGGAAGTTTTTGCCTGTGGACCAGCATGGCTATCCCATTTTTTTTGCAGCTCCATGGGGTCCCCATCTATTCATCAGAGTAGCATGGTGCATCCACAGGAACAGCAGAGCAGCAACCAGGCAAGAATGCCGCGCACGGCCACCCACACAATCGCTGCTGATGGGGATGCTCTCTGTCCTCCCTCCCAGATTGTGCTCCCCAGTGCCCAGCCACCTTGCTGCCACCATGTCCGTTGCCTGGCCAACTGCCCACCTTGCATGCCACCTGACCAGGTCATGTGCCTGCCTGCCTACTTCCTGGCTGAGTTGTATGCCTCATGTGCTGCCTGGCTGGATCACCAAGATGTCCACCTCACGTGGTGATGCCATGATGCTACCTTGCAGGGGCCCCGGCCTCTCTCTCCTGAAGCTTGTGGGATGGAGACACATTCCTGCCTCATGCTCGTGCCCTATCCTGTAAGTCCTTGTGAGGTGACAACATGGTGTGACCACACAAGGAGGACATTTCAGCAATCTGGGCAGGTGGCATGGGAGGGAGACAATCCAGTCAGGAGGTGGGTAGGCAGATGATTAGCTGGGTGGTACATGAGGTAGGTGATTGGCTAGGCAGCAGTCATGGTGGCCAGGCACTGGGAAACACATGCCGGGGGGATGACAGGAAGTGCAGGGGCAGCCAGTCTGTGCCCTGTCCACCAGCAACTCAGCCACTGCTGGGTGAACAGGGCAGCAGAAAATGGCAGCTGCAGTGGCTACAGCTGCTCCTGCCACAAAATTTGCTGGCCAAACAGGGGAAGCTGCAGAAAAACATTGTAAGTAACATCATACATAATAGGAGAAGCAATGCTGAAATGTGGATACCTTAGAATAAATAAGTTGGTTCTCTGCGGTGATTCTTGGTAACCAAACATGCCATGTTTCACCGTGCTTCCAGTATTCACACATAACAACAAGCCATTCCTGCCATGGCTTATGGTTATTTGTGAATCCAGCCACTATGTTGCTACTGTTCATTATTTAACTATATTTGTTTTGACTGGCAACTCAATTAAAAGGCATGATGATTAGCTGTGGAGAGAAAGGGGCTGTACTTAAGCTATCCAACATCAAAAGGCCTGCAGTAAAAATGCACATGGTGGTTCTTCAAAGCCAATTCTCAGAACGTTGGGTACATTATAAGTACTGACAAGAGCATGGTCAGTTATATGTTGTTTCAACAGAATGTCAACCATGAAAAAAACCAGTTTCTTGCAGGATCTGATAAAAAAGATATCATAAACTGCCACACTGCCAGGCACTTGATGCAAATGGTGAAGAAGCAGAACCAGAGGCTATTGTAAAACACAAGGATACAATAGAGGAATATAAAACTCAAAGCCTTGTTATAAAGCAGAGAGGTCTTTTTGTAGTATTGTTGTGAAGGAACATTCTTGGGGGGGGGGGTCTGAATTGAATCTAGGATGGGATCAAGAAGAGAAATGGCAAGCAGCCAATAAGAATTTAGGGGAACTGGAGATTTTAAGGGGGCCAAGAGACAGAGATCTCATAGGAAAGGCATAAACACACTGTGTCAGGTAGACTGGCAGGAGGCCAGAAGAGAGACCAGAAGGTCAGGCAAAAGGTCTCGTTTGAAAGTTCTCACTAGCTGTGCAACTACTATTTTGGGGTGCAGGGCTGGGGAGGGTGTCTCTTAAAAAGAAGAAACACAAGATCTTTGAAAGTCAGACAGAAGCTTGGCTCTTAGCACTAATATGAGAACAGACGGAACTTTGTATTAGACTATGGGGAAACAAGGAGGAAATGCACTTTGCTTGGCATTTATTTGAAATTTCTAACCATTTGCCTGAAAGCCCAAAGCACCATAAGGCAGAGAAGCTTTAAAGAAGGAGTTGCCCTTTTGGACCTGCAGAGGGAGGGAGGGAAGGTTTGGTAATATTAGTGTCCTTTGCTTCCTCCACGGAAGCTCTCAGCAGCACACTTTGGTTCATATATTAACCTCACATTAAGTTTTGCCACATGGGAGCCCCCACACCACACTGGCACTATCCCTACTTGCTCAGAAATTAAAGAAAAGGGCCCATTACTATCTCTGATGGGCAAAGTGAGAAAGTGATACCTGTCAGCCACTGATTCCTTGTCACTAAGACTAGCAGCATGCCAGTCTCACCATCTGGGGCAGCACTGCATATTTTCTGCTTCAGCAGGACGCGACTAGATGGAACTGCACTTATACACACACTGTCCAAGGTTTAGAACTACAGTGTTAGGATGACTAGAGTGGGGCATCACTGCATATGGAGGTGGGGTGGAGAATGACTAACGGCCACGATGAAAGGCTGAGAATGGTGTTAAGGAGCAATGAGATGGGTGGGGATTTTGGCAATCAGTCTAGGCAGCACGACAGGTGTGATTTACTGGAAACATCCAATCTGGTTTCCACTCCTGTTTATTTTCAAAACCATGAACAGAAGAATGCCATTTTTATTTTCAAATTAAATTGAGTAATTAAAATAATAAGATAATAATAAAAACAGTATTGTAAATAATTAAAAGCTGTAATTCTCAGGGCTCTACATTCAGTCCCAAATTATGAATTCTTAACTTTGCAGACACTGCAATATGTATATCTAATCAGAAGTCCTATGGAGTTCAATGGGCTATGGGGATGTGTGATTCAGCAAAACTTGAGTAGCCTGATTCTGTTCTGGAGGTTATTCTGGCTTAAATCCATAGCAGACTGTGACCTTTTCTCCCCCTTTTGGCATGAAAATGCGTATGTATTTCCATGCAGTGTGTTTTTCCAAAGGTACACATCAATTGTGTGCATCTTTTAAATGCATGCATTCTTCTCTCATTGATTAAAGAGTACAGGCAGTCCCTGAGTTACGAATGTGTTCTGTTCCTGAGAAAATGGAAATTTGTCTTCAAGGTGAATTTGTATGTAAGTCAAATCACAGATAGTTGGCCTGCCACATTTGCAGGAGTTGGGTGTGACCCCTGTGAAAGTGGAAAA